CTGTCCACCTGGGTCCCAGGGCCTGGTGGGCTGTGTGGAATTTCCTGGGCTAGCTACATGTTGATTCTGTGTGGATTGGTTAAGGAAACTTTCCGTTTCTGTGGGTGAATGGGGAAGGACAGTCACCTTTTGGTTTTCTGCTTGGGCATTGTTCCCAATTCACTAGTCAAGGAAACTGAATACTGATCCTAGGAAATAATGCTGAGAAATGTGGATGTTTGGAGATATCCTAATCTTGTGTGTGGAGTGGGCAGACCTTTGAGGTGGTGAGAGTCTTTCCTGCCCATGCCACATCTCAGAGGCTCTTCTCCTGTTTGCAGAATGAGCTAGGATCCTGTCCATTTGCTCCTTGGTTGTCTCTTCTTCCTAAGGATCAGTGTCTTCGTCTGCAAAGTGGGGGATGATAATACGCACTCTGCTTTCCCCAGAGTGACAGCGGTCAGAAGCAAAAGAAGTGAATGTCAAAGCCCCTCGTAGGTTATAAAGCACTGGACAGTGCGCAGATTTTTATCGATATTGTTTGAGTTAATGCCGGCAGCCCATTGATTTAGTTCTACGTCTTCTCTTCAGCAAAGAGAGAACTAAGACAGTAATTAGAGTCCTTGCTTGTTGCCTTTTGCTTTGCCTTCAGGCTTCCCACACAAGATAAACTCAGTTTTTGTTTTAGCCTCTTCACGATATCCTTAGGTAAGATGCTTAGGTGGGTTGATCGAGTGAGAGTCACACCACGTGCGGGGAAAGCCACATCTGGAGTGGCCCTGCAAACCAGGTATTACTGCTGGTTGGGATAAGCAGCTCACGAAGCCCCCTGAAGACTTGCTAAAATGAAAAACATCCGAGGCCCCCACTCCACGCAAGGTGCAGTGCTCCCGTGTTGAAACAGTGGCTAAATATAAATTCCTAGAATTGGGACATCCATGGTACTGCCCTGGGCACTGGACAGGCCTGTGGGTACAGTAATTGGGGTTCTCAACCCCGTCCACAGAAATTAACATGAAAATGCCAGTGTGAAAATGTGTACACATGTGTGCATTTTGCTGGCCAGAGAAACTGCAGCTTTCACCAGATTTTCATAGGGGTCCATGCGCCCCACCAAAAAATGTTACAAATCATTAACCTAGTTCAACATTTCCAAATTCATTTGAAATTGCATTTTTTTACCTTATTAAAAAAGTCCACTGAACATTAAGTTTTAACTCTTTGTTTTTTAATACTTACATAACTTAAATTCATAAATGCATATACTTATATTAATGTTTAAGTTAGAAAAGTAATGCATATTTATTTAAGAAAACCTAGAAAATGAAGAAGAGTAACAAGAAAAATCCCCACCCTGGCTCCCACACATAGATTTTTTAAAACATGGATGAAGTCACTCAGAAAGACATGGTTTTGCAGAAATTAAGTGGACATTTCTATTTGAAAATTTTAAACCTTAGTATATTTGCTTTCATATATAAAGGTAGAATATTCAGTTATCGTTGTAACGATTACTCCATGGTGTTGGGTGGCCATATTCTTGCTGGTTAGACTGTTACGGTGTTTCTGTGAGCAACTTCTTACATACGTGTTTTCTCTTGGATCGGTTCTTTGAGCGTATTCCTAGCAGTGGGTTTGTCCGTCAGGGACGCACACAGCTGGAGAGCGCCTGGAACCCGGCCTCCGGGGAAGGGCAGGCGGCTTTCTGGGCCGGTGACTCGTTTGCCTCTTTGTCAGGGTCCTTGCTAATTTTTTGAAGCAACATTTTGTTTTCTAGTTTAATTAAATTGCTTTAATGAGCATTTTAAAAGTAACTCAGCAGTTACTTGCCCCGGAAGGAGTCCTGTTTTTCCTCATTTAAACTGTTGGAATCATTTGACAGCTGGGGACAGTGATTTCCCATAGAGGCAGGTTAAGTAACAGGAGGCAGCGGCCAGAGGCAGGTCGGGACGAGAGGCCGGGCCTGGAGGCCCAGCCCGGGCTCCGTGCTGCTGGGTCTCTCCGCTGGGTCTCAGGCTCAGAGGCTGAGCACTCTGGCTCCCAAAGCTGAGCCCCTTCCACCCCCCACAAGCTGGCCTGTTGGATTCTTGGCCCCCACCTCTGCAGAGTCCCAGATAAATGGTAATTTCTTAACTTGCCCTGTCATGAGGCAGTGTGATGCTTTATATTTCTGGAGATTTGAGGTCAGTTTCCCTTGCTTCCTGGTCCCCAAGCTGTCTCTGTCCCAGATGGGAGCGTCTGCAGAGAGCCATTCCTCTGCAAGACAGAAGCAATCTGCTCCATCCTTCCCAAGCTGGCCCTCGGGATGTTTGAAGACCTCCACTCTGCCACCTGCACGCCCCCAGTCTGGTCCTCAGGTGACATGACTTGTTAAAATACCTTTTATCACTTTACCAAGGGACACAGAAAGCATGGAGACATATTCCAGTACCGAAGAAGAAGAAAATAAAATTGGCTCATAATCCTATCAGTCTATTCAATTCTCTCTGTTCTCTATTAAAATTTATTTTTCTTTTTTAAAGACTAGGATAATTTTGTTTTGTAACACGCTGCTCTTTTCATGTCATCAGATAGTTTTCCACAGTTTTACCTTAAATGCTTATGTCCTAGACCATTTAAACCATAACGGTGTCACCTACATGCTCTCTGATCAGGTAGCAGGCTGTTTCTAACAGGAAAGGCAATGCTGCGGGTAATTCCCCTGCAGTTAACTCCTCATATAAGTCTACATTTATTTCCTTTAAAAACCCAAAGGTAAAACTGGCTGGGAGAAAGGATTTATACTTCTGTAAGTTTTGGATGATGTATTTCTGGATTGCCCTTCTGAGAGAGCCATGATATCATGAGGCCCCTGCCGCCACGGCAACCTGGTTCTTAGAATCCTTCCAGGCCACAACTGACCACAGTTGGGCCACTGACTGGACACTGTCTGGCAGCATGGCCAGACCAGGGTCCTTTCTCTCCCTACTCTCCAGTCTAAGCCTTGTTTTCTCTGCGAGTTAAGGTGCTGGAGGTGGAGAAAGGGTTCCCGGGCCTTTCTCCCAAGCCTACTGCAGTTCTAAGAGGTGGCGAGCGCTTCAGCCCAGCTCTTCCATGTCCCCGGGTGTCTCTAATGTGGGCTTTCTCCTTCTGTTTGTTTAGACCTGAGCCTGGGCAAGCTTCAGGTGCCTAGAGAGGCTGACGAAGGAGGCAGGGCCACCTCCGGGCGCCCGAGGAAAGGAAAGCGGCATCACACACCTCAGAACCCGCTTCTGGACTGCAGCCTCTGCGGGAAGGTGTTCAGCAGCGCCAGCTCTCTTAGCAAGCACTACCTGACGCACAGCCAGGAACGGAAACACGTTTGCGGAATCTGCAGCAAGGCCTTTAAGCGCCAGGACCACCTGTATGTAGGAGTCTGGTCACCAACATCTGTGCAGGGGCCTGGGGAGAAGGGGGCATGTTCCTAGGTCATTCTCATCACCTCCCAGATTAGCCCGACACACCCTGTCCCTGTTGGGTCCCTGTGACCCGTGCTTAGACGCGGACTCCGTGTCTGGGGACAGGTCTGCCACTGCCCTGAACAGGTCACCCTTCCGAGCCCTCAAAGTCACACCAATGAGAAAATCACAGCCTTGACTTGCAGATGGGACCTCTTGCAATTTTGTTATGGAGGGAATTGGGTTAACTTTATAGAGAAATATTTGGAGACAGTGGTAGGTACCTGAGGAAAACCAGCCCGTGTTTATATGAGGAACGTGTACCAGGACTCCACAGGGCATGAGAGATTCCAAAATACCTGTGTCTAGAACGTGGCATTGGAGCATTAACTCTTAGTTTGTCCTTTTTAACCCCTGATTTTTTTTTTTTTTAACTCTTGATTTTAAAAAGAAAGCCCATTAAGAGAGTCTGGAGCAGAATTCCTTTTATTCCTAATGTCTCTTAAATAATAAGCTTTTCTTGCTAGTGAGGAAGGACAGACAGACTTCCTCAAACCAGGAGACTGGCAAGTGGGAGACGGCAGTCCATTGCATTTTATATGCTCCTGGCCTTCCCACGGGGCTTTGACTGACTCCCTTTCCCACTCATCCTCTCGCCAAGCTCCCCCCCACTCCCGGGAAAGGCAGCGATTTGCTCATGTTACAGACTGGCTAACAGTGGAGCTGGAGATTGGGTCTCTGCCACTCTCCTCCGATGGAGGCCAGGGCCGACCTTTGGGGAAGGGCTCTGTCATTTATCAGACACGCCCCGTGTGCCGCATTAGGAATGTCGGGAGTAGGGCTGTTGGGAATGTGGAGGGTGATCTACTCATCTGTTTATGTTATTAATGTAGATATAAGAATGACATAAACATAGTGCATATTTGTATGCATTTATATTATAGGAGGCACATTTAGCTGTTTTCTAGAAAGTTCTGATTGGGCATCTGTAAATTATATTTTTTCCTGTGGGGGGGTTTCAGGCAGCTGTCTCCTTATAGGAATTCTACGGTAGGGGAAAGACTCCTTTGTTAAAGGCAAGATCCTCCCCAGATGAGCTTTTCCTCAAATGTATTCTGTAAAGCTTTTGTTCTTAAGAGTGCTAAGAGGGGCTATTTCAGAAAACAGTTCTGTGGGCAAGTATGTTTCAGAGACAGGCAGGTCTACCTGCTATATGGCTTTTACATTTGCTCCCGTGAACCTCCAAGAAGCAAATGGTGCGCTGTTGGAACTTACTTGCCACCTAAGCCCACGACCTCGGAGAGCCACTGTGGAGGGCTGGTGTTCCTTGGGAACCCATTCTGGGGAGCTCTCACTAGGCTTCTGTTGATTTTTCTCTCAGATAAGGGGGTTGCTTAACGGTGAGGGAGGGGGGCACCCCTTCCAGATGCTTTGACTGTAGCCGGGGGCTGAGTGCAGGCTCTGAACTGTGGTTCTGACCTCCACTGCCCCTTGGGAGCACTGTGGGGGGAGTCAGGCTCGGGACCCTGCGATGGGAGGCTGAGCCCCAGTGCCCTCTGACTCCCTTCTCGTGTGTGACTGCAGGACTGGGCACATGCTCACCCACCAGAAGACCAAGCCCTTTGCGTGCATGGAGCAGGGCTGCAGCAAAAGCTACTGTGATTACCGCTCCCTGCGCCGGCACTATGAGGTCCAGCATGGCTTGTGCATCCTAAAGGAGGCCCCCCCTGAGGAAGAAGCCTGTGGGGACTCCTCTCCTGCCCACAAGGTGGCCAGCCAGCCTGCCATGGGTGGCCTGCGATTCTCAGGCTCCCTTTTGCCCAACCGAGACCTCCTGCGCTGTATTGTGAGCAGCATGGTCCACCAGGAGATCTCTTCTCCTGGCCCGGTCCTGGCAGGGCCTTCAGATGACAGGGAAGGGAAAAACACAGCCTGCCCCTGCCCACCCTCACTGGGGCCCTACCCCTGCACCCCAGTGGCCCCAGGGACCCTGGGCAGTGATGTTCCTGAGGAGTGTCACCCCCTGTGGAAGGAGCCCACCGCTGGGTTCACAGCCACTCACTCCAGGGAAGCAGAGGATGGTGGTCCAGACCCAGCTGAGGCAAAGCGGCCGCCCCAGCTACCGCCCACCCTGGAGAGCGGGCAGGAGGGTGGGACCCTGCCGGCCGGCCTGCCTCTGTTCCAAGGCCAGGCAGTGCCTGCCAGTGCCGAGCCTTCAAACCACAACCTCCAGTGGCTCCAGAACCTGCCAGGCTGCCCCGAGAGCGAAGGGAATGATGTGTTTGCCATCCAGAAGCCCACTTCTGTGTCCCCTCAGGAGTTCTCCGAGGCTGGGCCCAGGCCCAGCAGCACCTCCCTGACGGGGGAGGCCTCAGGCAACCCTGAATATGCCGGCAAGGAAGAGGACTCCAGGGCTTCCAAGAAGAGCAAGTGTGACAGTGACTCCTGCTCACGGCAGCACGTGGAGGAGCCCAGCCTCCAGGAGGCCCTGAAGCTGAGCGGGCTGTCGTCTGACGCCACGCCGCTCTTAGGGCAGTTGTTCCTAAAGTCGCAGGAGTTTCTGGTCAGTCAAGAGCAGATGCAGGTGTTCCAGATGATCACCAAGTCCCAGCAGATCATCTCTGGCTCCCACGTGGCTGTGGCCTCCTCCCAGCATGCTGCGCCTGAGGGCAAGCAGGCTGCGCTGAAGCCACTGCAGGGGCCGCGGCCACACCAGCCCCCACCCCTGGCACCCACAGTTGACTCTTTGCATGGTGGCCCTGCAAACCCAGAGCAAGAGGGATCCCCACCTGGCAAGAGAAAAACCACGCCCGCCTTCCCCAGAGAGGCCTTGCCCGGCAGCAATCGACGGGACACGAAGGGGGGACCAAAAGTGGCCCCTGCACCATCGGAACCCCCCGGGGACCCAGACATCCCCTCTCTGGCCAAGCAGCTGAGATCCACAAAAAGGCCCTTAGACCTGGGGGACATCCTCCCCACAGGGGGCCCATGGCAGACCCAGCTGGGTGGGGACAATCCTGCCGGAGCCCAGCTCCCAGGGAAGCAGGCCCAGGTGGAGAATGGCCTGGCCTCGGGGGCCATGAAAGGTGCGAAGGGCCTGGCCTGCTCCCGGGGCAGAGGCCGCAGGCTCTTCTCTGGCAACATGTGGGCCCAATGTTTCTTGGACTTCCAGAAGGAGAAGGTGAAAATGGATACGCACTGTGCGGCCTCTCCCAGCCAGGTGGCCATGGCCTCCTTCTCGTTGGCCAGGCCTTCGGTGGACACCCCGCAGGACTCAAAGTCCAAGCTGATGATACCCAGCAGGACCCAGGTACCTGACTTTATGCTGTGAGATGAGAGACTCACTCATCACTTGTTTCCGAATTTATGAGTCATCCAGACATTTTATTTAGTGCCCGTGCGTCCTCAGACCCAGTTTTGCAGAGGGGAAGTGAAGGTTCAGAGAGATCGTGGCTCCCCGCCAACCTCCCCAAAACGCCAGGATGAAGGCTTTGCAAGTCGCTGGGACGCCCTGTGTCACCTTTCCTCACTGAGTTTTTTCTGCTTGCCCTCCTTTTGCCCATCTCTTCCTTCTGGGTTTGCCCCTCAAATTCTCCAGAGGATATAAAGGTAGAGTTCCTTCCCCCTCAGTATTCCTGCATGAGATGCCATCTCTGGCTGTGGGGCAGGGGTGCCCACATGTGTCAGCACTTGTGCAGCATTAGCCTGGTTCCTGCCCAGGTGGTGGCCACGAGGACCTGGGTGCCAGGCGGTCAGCCGCTACTCTTTGCGACGTGCTCAGGTCTAGCACCTGACAGCTGCATCCTCTTTTTTTTTAAACAGCTTTAATATTCGTGTGCCATCTAACCATTTTAAATCACACCATCTGGTGACTTTTAGTATACTCAAAAAGGTTGTGCACCATTACCACTTTTTCCAGAACATTTTCATCACCCCAGAAATTAACCCCACACCCTTAGTTGTCCCCCCAGGTCTCCCCATAACCTCCCAGCCCCTGGCACCATGAATCTACCTCTGTCTCTATGGATTTGCCTGCTCTGGACACTTCATATAATAGAAATCATACACTGTGGCCTTTCATGTCTGCCTTCTTCCACTCAGCATAATGTTTTCAAAGTTCATTCATGTTGTAGCATATGCCAGGCTTCGCTCCTTTTTATGGCTGAGTAATACTCCATTGTGTGGATACATCGCATTTTGTTTATTTATTCATCAGTTGGTGGCCATTTGGGTTGTTTCCACTTGGCCATCGTGAATAGTGCTTCTTTGAGCATTCGTACCAGTTTTTGTGGGGACATACATTTTAATTTCTCTTGGGAATGACCTAGGGGTGGGACAATTAGTTCATGGGGTAGCTCTGTACTTAACCATCTGAGAAGCTGCCAGGCTTTTCCAAAGCAGTTGCACCCTTTCACATCCCCATCCTCGGGGGACGAGGGCTCTGATTTCCTCACAGCCTCATCAGCACTTGCTATTGTCCCATTTTTTTTTTTTACCATGGCCATTCTAGTGGGTGTGAGGTGCTACCTCATCATGGTCTGACTCACGAGGCTCTAATGGCTGGTGGTGCTGAGCATCTTTTCATGTGCTTATCGGCCATTCATATGTCTTTGGTTTGGTGTCTGTTCATATCCTTTGCGCATTTTTGAACTGGGTTATTTGAGTTTTGTTGAGCTGCAAGAGTTCTTTATGTATTGTACACACAAGGCCCTTATGACATGCATAACGTGTAATGATTCTCCCATTCTGTGTGATCTTACTTTCTTGATGGTGTCCCTTGATGCAGAGAAGTTTTAAGTTTTGATAAGTCCAGTTTGTTCTCTTTCTGTGTCATCCAAGAAAGCATGGCCTAATCCAAGGTCACGGAGCCACACCTGTATTGTCTTCTCGGCACCTTGTAGTTTTAGTTCTTGCATCTGCCTCATTTTTGATATGTCAGCTCAGATGTCTTTTCATCTTCAGGGTGGAAATACCTTCCGGCTCCCCGATCCAGTGAAGGAGGAGAGCACGGCAGGCGGATGGTAAGTTCAGAAGCCCCTCCCTGCCGGGCCTGGGGGTTACCCCTCGGATGTCCTCTGGGGGCTTTTATGTGCTGGCCTTGGGCGAGTGAGCTCTGGATGCTTCAACCCTGAAGAGGTGCCCACCAGGCCACGAAGGAAGCGGGTATCGCCTCCATTTCTTGGGATTCATTGAGAGTTGTCAGTGGATCAGACTTAAAAGAAAAAAAAGAAAAAAAAGGGTGGAGTCCCCTTCCCCCGTTCTTCCCCCTGCCGTGTCTGTCCACAGTAACCAGCAAAATGGAGGCCCTGCAGACTGGGCAGAGCCAAGGAGCACGTATGTCTGCAAGAATTGCAGCCAGATGTTTTATACAGAGAAAGGGCTGACCAGCCATATTTGTTTTCACAGCGACAAGTGGCTGTCACCTCGAAGGAAGCAGGACCAACAGGTGAAGGCGCGCGTGCAGTAGGTTCTGTGTTCGCAGGGCGCTCACAGGCTTTGGGGGAGGGAGTCAGTGGCTGGGTGTCATTGTCTCAGGATGGAGGTGTCCTCCCGGGGAAGCCTGGGCAGGGACCAGGGGTCAGGCTGCACTGCTCTGGGGGGCAGGCCGGCGCTTGAGCCTGGAGCGGCCCCTCTGCCGCCTGCCTACGGTTCTTCTTACACAGCCATCTCCTCTGTGTTTAGGTGTCAGGCACGGAGTTTTTCAAGCCTCTGAGACAGGTGCTGAGGCTGGAGGTGGAGGCACAGAGCTCCGCAGGAGCCGGGAAGCCCTCGGAGGGCACGAGCACAGCTCCTCTGAGGACGCCTGCATTGGAACCTGTGAGCTCAGTGAGCCGGCCCCCGGGAAGCACAGCCAAGGTGGGTGGTGGTTGGTCCACTTCCTTCCCACTGCAGTGGAAGCCATGGGCAAAGCCCAAACCAGACGCCACAAAAAATCTCTCCAGAACAGCTTGGCTTGCACATTCATTCATTCATTCACCTTCTGTGCCAGCCCTGTGGGGGCAGTGCTGAGGACACCATGGTGACAGGGACAGCCCCAGCCTGGCCTCCTAGGGCTCCCAGTCCATGTGAGTAGATGGACCCATGCCAGACAGTGAGGACTCAGACTGGGTTGGTCTTGAAGGGGGAGCAGAAGGTCTGAGAGGACACCAGAGACCCTGCCTGAGGAGGTCAAGGAGGACTTTCTGGAGGGGGTTAGAGCTGAGACCTGGAGGATGAGGAGCAGTAAGACTGGTAGAAAGAGGGGAGATTGTGTGGAGGTGGGTAAGAGATGTAAGTTCATGGGATCAGCCATTGCAGCCTGGACTGGAGGGTCCCACCTGGAGAAGCCCCCTCCAGGCCGGGCGACAGGGTGCATAGATCCCCTTGTCCATCTCATGGAGCTGCGGTCATTTTTCATCTTGTGGTGCTGTTGCACTGCATCTCCGGCCCCATCTCTAAGTGCCGGTCATTTTAACAAGTTGACGCTGGCCTCATACATCTCCGAAACCCTTTGTATCAGGGCCTCTCCCTGGGGGCGGGGCACATGAGGAAGCTTCCCGCATCACACGTCCATGCCGAGAGTCTGGGGTCTGGCTCAGGCGTGGTGGCCCCGCTCGGCTCCCTTGCTGAGGCCGGCTCGGACAGGGGTGTTGGGTGTTACATTTCCCTCTGGCTCCATGGGCAGTGCCCTTGCCTGTACGCACACCCCCTTGAAGACTGAACTGTGCACACGTGGCCTCAAGTCACCCCCTGTGGCTTTGAATTCTCTTCTCCAGGGACAAGACAGAGACGGGGAGGAGAGAGACAGCAAGGAGAGCAGCCAGCTGAGAAGGCGGAGAAAGTACCCACAGCCCAAGGCATCATTCCTGCTTCCCCCACCTTCTGCCTTTGGAGGGCCGGGCCCCAAAGGAAGCCACCAGAGCTGTCTGCGGTCTCCGGTGCTTCTGGTGGACCACTTCATGAAGGGATTGTACCAGTGCTCTCCCTATACGCCGCCCCCAATGCTCAGCCCTATCCGGGAGGGGTCTGGGCTGTATTTAAACACTGTTCCATGTCCACTCAGTCTGGTCTTGACAAACTCAGCAGCAGCAAGCTTGGTGAGTGAGGCTCAGGCCTGTCATCTCTGACCATCACACGGCAGGCCTGCTATGGGCAGATGCAACTCGACATGTAGCATTTGATCCAGGGGTTCTCTCTGGCCTTCGGCTGTGTCTGGCCTGGGGGTCCCATGGCTGCTCAGAGGTATCCCAGGACTATGTGTAACCAGCAGCCTTCTAGGTACTGAGAATTTTACAGGCAAAAGGAAAATATAGATACCACTTAGCCTGACCACCCTTCTGCCTATCCTTTTGAATAATTTTGTTAACAGCTTTATTGGTACATAATTCACATACCATATGAATCACCCATTTAAAATACAGTGTTTTTTAGTAAATTCATAGACTTGTGCATCCATCGCACCATGTAATTTTAGAGCAATTTCATCACCCCAGAAGCAGCACTGTACATTTGCAGTCACCCCCACCGCCCCCACAGCCCCCATCTCCCCAGCCCTGGGCAACCACTGATCATCTCTAATCATCATGGACGCACCTACTCTGGACATTGCATGTAATTGGAATCATACAGTATGTGACATTTGGCGTTTAGTTTGTTCATTTAGCATAATGTTTTCAAAGTTCATCCATGTTACAGCATATACAGTGCTTCAATCCTTTTTATGGCTGAATAATATTCCATTGTGTGGATACACAACATTTTAACCATTTATACCTGATGAGTATTTGGGCTGTTTCCATCTTTTAATTATCATGAATAATGCTGTTATGAACATTCACATACAAGTTTTTGTTGGACAAAGGCTTTCATTTCTCTTGAGTTTATGCCTAGGAGTGGAATTGCTGGGTCATAGGGTAACTATGTTTAATGGTTTAATGCCAGACTGTTTTCCAAAATGGCTGAGCCATGGGAATAAATTTCGATGCACATTGCATGCAAGTTCCAATTTTCCACATCCTTGTCAACACTTCTTATCTTTTAAAATTATAACTCTCCTAGTGGGCATAAAATATCTTATTGTGGTTTTGATGTGCATTTCTCCTATGGTAATGATGTTGATATCTTCCGATGTGCTTGTCCATTTGTGTATTTTCTCAGAAGAAATGTCTGTTTAGATCCTTTGCCCCTTTTTAAAATTGAGTTATTATCTTTGTATTACTGAGTTGTAAGAGCTCCTTACATATTGTGGATGCAAGCCCCTTATTAGATACATGATTTGGAAATTCTCTCCTGTTTCATGTCTTATCTTTTCATTTTATTTATGGTATTTGCGGTACAAGAGTTTTTATTTTTTGTCACTTGTGCTTTTGGTGTTGTATCTGCAGTTTTGCCTGACTAAAAGTCACAATTGCTTTTTAAGTCAGTTAAGAAAAGAGAAGAAATATGCAATTATGCTGACTTTTACTCCTTTCTCTTCAAAGAGTTTTATAATTTTAGCTCTTACATTTAGGTCTTTGATCGATTTTAAGTTAACTTTTATATATTATGTGAGGTCGGAGTCTAAATTCATTCCTTTGCATGTGGATATCAGTTGTTCCAGCACCGTTTGTTAAAGAGATTATTCTTCCCCCCATTGAGCTGGTGTGGCACCTTTGTGGAAAATCAACTGACCATAGTGATTTAAATTTTTTCTTCTTTTTTAATACAGACAGTTACAACTGTAAGTTCCCTTGGAGCATTGCGTTAGCCACACTCCATAAATTTTGATTATGTTCTTCTTTCCTTTATCTCAAAGTATTTCCTAATTTCTCTTTTGATTTCTTCTTAAATACACCGATTATTGAGGAGTGTTTTTTTATTTCCACATATTTGTGAATTTTCCAAATTGTCTCCTTTTATTGATTTATAATGTAATTGTATTGTAGTCAGAGAACATGCTTTGTATTAAGTTGTTCCTTTTAAATGTATTGAGACATGTTTTATGGCTAGAATATGTTCTGTCCTGAAGAATATCCCATGTGCGCTTAAGAATATATTCTACTGATGTTGGGTGGAATGCACCAAAAATGTTTCTGTCTTGTTTTATTCTGTGTGGTTGTCCTATCCATTACTGCAAGTACTGAAATCTCCAACTATTGTTTTGAATTGTTTATTTCATACTCAATTGTGTCAGTTTCTGCTTCATGTATTTTTGGACTGTTTTTAGGTGCATATATGCTTATAATTGTCATATCTTCCTGATGGTGTGATTGTTTTTTCCATGAAGTGACTACAATGTTCTTTATCATCACTGCAATAATTTTATCATTATCTCTAGTTTTTTTTAAAGCCTAATTAGCCTAACATTAGTACCATTCTGCCTCTTTTATGGTTGTTTACTTGGTATATTTTTTCTGTACTTGTATTTTCAACCTGCTTGTGTTTTTTTCAAATAAACCATGTCTTCTATAGATTATATTAGTTGGATCATATATTTTTTATCTAATCTGACGAACTCTGCATTTTGATTGGTTTATTCAATCCAGTGTCACTTAATGTTACATTGTTATAGGGAGGTTTACATTTGCCATTATGCTTTTGATTGTATGTACCTTGCCTTTTTCTCCTTCTGTTCCTCTATTCTGGCTTTCTTTTGTATTAAGTGTTTTCTACTGTAACATTTTAATTCCTTTAGTTTTTCATTTTTTTCTTAGTCATTCCTTAGTGGTTGCTCTAGGACTTAAAACTACATCTTAACGTTATCAGAATCTGTTCAGATGTATAATAACTTACAGTGAAATATAGAAACATTACTCCTATACAGCTCTATTTCTCCTAACCCTTTTTCTCTTATTATGTATATAAATACTTTATATATTTCATTTTCTGTATGTGTGTGTATATATACATATAAATCCAGCAATACATTGTTTAGTTCTTACATTATACTATTTTGTATTATGTAACAAAAACTGAGAGAATAAAGGAAAGCAAGCATTATTTATACAATTTGTTATGTAACATTTTTAGTTACCGTTTCTCATCTCTTCATTTATTCCTATGGAAGTATGTGACATTTGGTGTTTAATTTGTTCATTTAGCATAAAGTTTTCAAAGTTCATCCATGTTACAGCATATACAGTGCTTCAATCATTTTTATGGCTGAATAATATTCTATTGTGTGGATACACAACATTTTATCCATTTATACCTGATGAGTATTTGGGCTGTTTCCATCTTTTAATTATCATGAATAATGCTGTTATGAACATTCACATACAAGTTTTTGTTGGACAAAGGCTTTCATTTCTCTTGAGTTTATGCCTAGGAGTGGAATTGCTGGGTCATAGGGTAACTATGTTTAATGGTTTAATGCCAGACTGTTTTCCAAAATGGCTGAGCCATGGGAATAAATTTCGATGCACATTGCGTGCAAGTTCCAATTTTCCACATCCTTGTTAGTGATTCTTCATAAATTATAACTCTCCTAGTGGGCATAAAATATCTTATTGTGGTTTTGATGTGCATTTCTCCTATGGTAATGATGTTGATATCTTCCGATGTGCTTGTCCATTTGTGTATTTTCTCAGAAGAAATGTCTGTTTAGATCCTTTGCCCCTTTTTAAAATTGAGTTATTATCTTTGTATTACTGAGTTGTAAGAGCTCCTTACATATTGTGGATGCAAGCCCCTTATTAGATACATGATTTGGAAAGTCTCTCCTGTTTCATGTCTTATCTTTTCATTTTATTTATGGTATTTGCGATACAAGAGTTTTAATTTTTTGTCACTTGTGCTTTTGGTGTTGTATCTGCAGCTTTGCCTGACTAAAAGTCACAATTGCTTTTTTTAAGTCAGTTAAGAAAAGAGAAGAAATATGCAATTATGCTGACTTTTACTCCTTTCTCTTCAAAGAGTTTTATAATTTTAGCTCTTACATTTAGGTCTTTGATCGATTTTAAGTTAACTTTTATATATTATGTGAGGTCAGAGTCTAAATTCATTCCTTTGCATGTGGATATCAGTTGTTCCAGCACCGTTTGTTAAAGAGATTATTCTTTCCCCCATTGAGCTGGTGTGGCAGCTTTGTGGAAACTCAACTGACCATAGTGATTTAAATTTTTTCTTCTTTTTTAATACAGACAGTTACAACTGTAAGTTCCCTTGGAGCATTGCGTTAGCCACACTCCATAAATTTTGATTATGTTCTTCTTTCCTTTATCTCAAAGTATTTCCTAATTTCTCTTTTGATTTCTTCTTAAATACACCGATTATTGAGGAGTGTTTTTTTATTTCCACATATTTGTGAATTTTCCAAATTGTCTCCTTTTATTGATTTCTAATTTAATTCTGTTGTAGTCAGAGAACATACTTTGTATTAAGTTGGTCCTTTTAAATTTATTGAGACATGTTTTGTGAGCTAGAATATGTTCTGTCCTGAAGAATGTCCCATGTGTGCTTGAGAAGAATATACTCTACTGATGTTGGGTGGAATGCACCATAGATGTTTCTGTGTCTTGTTTTATTCTGTGTGGTTGTCCTGTCCATTACTGCAAGTACTGAAATCTCCAACTATTGTTTTTAATTGTTTATTGCATACTCAATGGTGTCAGTTTCTTCTTCATGTATTTTTGGACTCTGTTTTTAGGTGCATGTATACTTATAATTGTCATATCTTCCTGATGGTGTGATTGTTTTTTTCATGATATGACTACAATGTTATTTATCATCACTGCAATAATTTTATCATAATCTCTAGTTTTTTTTAAAGCCTAATTAGCCTAACATTAGTACCATTCTGCCTCTTTTAAGGTTGTTTACTTGGTATATTTTTTCTGTCCTTGTATTTTCAACCTGCTTATGTTTTTTTAAAATAAACCATGTCTCCTATAGATAATATTAGTTGGATTATATATTTTTTATCTAATCTGACAAACTCTGCCTTTTGATTGGTTTATTCAATCCAGTGTCATTTAATGTTACATTGATATAGGGAGGTTTACATTTGCCATTATGCTTTTTCTTTTCTGTATGTACCTTGCCTTTTTCTCCTTCTGTTCCTCTATTCTGGCTTTCTTTTGTATTGTGTTTTCTATTGTAACATTTTAATTCCTTTAGTTTTTCATTTTTTTCTTAGTCATTTTTTGGTGGTTGCTCTAGGGCTTAAAACTACATCTTAACGTTATCAGAATCTGTTCAGATGTATAATAACTTACAGTGAAATATAGAAACATTACTCCTATAGAGCTCTATTTCTCCTAACCCCTTTGCTCTTATTATGTATATATGTACTTTATATATTTCATTTTCTATATGTGTGTGTATATATAAACCCAGCAATACATTGTTTAGTTCTTACATTATATTATTTTGTATTATGTAACAAAAACTGAGAGAATAAAGGAAAGCAATCATTATTTATACAATTTGTTATATAACATTTTTAGCTACCATTTCTCATCTCTTCATTTATTCCTATGGATTTGAGTTACTGTATGAAGGGTTATTTACTCCAGTGCATCTCCCCTCTGTTGTGTGTTGCTGTCATATATATGTTTATAAATTACAGACCTATAACACTAGTGTTTTATGCAATCACCTTTACGTCAATTAAGAAAAGAGAAGAAATATGCAATTATACTGATTTTTATCATTATCTATATAAGTACATTTACCAGTGTTGTGTGTTTGTTTGGATTCAGGTTACTATCTGATGTTGTTTTCTCTTTCAGTCTGAAGAACTTCCTGTAGTATTTATTTTCATTGTGGAGGTGTAATTCACATGTCATACAATTCATCCCTTTAAAGTACACAATACAGTGGTGGTTGGTATATTCTCAGAGCTGTGCAACCGTTGCTACCATCAATTTCCAGATATTTTCATCATGTCCCAAGGAAGCCCTGTACTCAGCAGTCACTCTTGTCCCTCCCCTCCCGACCCTGTCCCCAGCCGTAGGTAACCACGAATCTACTTTCTGTCCTGTAGGCTCAGCTCTTCTGGACATTTCATATAAGTGGAAATCATATGATGTGTGCTTCTTTGTGTCTTCTTCCAGTTAGCATGAAAACTTAGGGTTTCACCCATGTTGTATATATCAGAACTTCATTTCTTTTCATGGCTGAATAATTCTCTACCTTTAATGTTCCTTGTAAGACAGGTCTGCTAGCAACAAGTTTCCTCAGTTTTTATTTACCTAAGGATGTCTTTTTTCACCTTCATTTTTGAAAGGTAATTTGCTGAATATAAGATTCTTGGTTGAGTTTTTACTTCCAGCAATGAGGTCACGTTGTCCCACTGCCTTCCAACTGCTATCATTTTCGATGAGAAGTCAGCTGTTAATCTTACTGGGGTGTACATCTATATCATGTTATTTTTCTCTTTTTGCTTTCAAGATCTTTATCTTTGGCTTTCAGTATTTTGCCTATGATGTGCCCAGATGGAGAGCTCTTTGTGTTTATGCTACTTGGAGTTTATAGAGTTTCTTGGATGTATGTATTGTTTTTTCATCACATTTTGGACATTTTCTGCCATTAAATACTTTAAATATTTTTCTGCTCCTTTCTCCACTCCTTGTATTCCCATTACACGTGTTGCTGCACTTATTGATGCCCCACATTTCTCTGTGGCTCTTTGTTTTCCTTCATTCATTTTTCTCTCTTCTTCAGAATCCATAATCTCCATGGATCTAGCTTTAAGTTGGCTGCTGGTTTCTTCTGCCAGCTCAAATCTACATTTTGGTTATTGTTCTTAACTCCAAAATTTCCATTTGGCTTTTTTTTTTTAACAATTTATACCTCTTAATAGTATTCTCTCTTTGATGAGCATTTTTCATTGTACCTTCCTTTAGCTCTTTAGGCATGAGAGCTGGGAGGAGAGGGACCCCCTGTGTCCCTGGCTGCACCTCCCTGGAGTAGAGCCCTCCAAGTAGAGCTCCTGATACACAGTGCATGGGGCTGGTGGGTAAGGGAACAAGTCACGGCTCAGATGCCACAAACTCACTATTCTTACTGAGATTTACTCAATTGGCCTCAATGAATATTTCTTAAAATGCTGTATACTTTAAGGATAACTTCCAGAGACTTTAACTGCTTTTAAAATAATTTTTACCAGTTAATTTGTTGTTTTACTCTTTGTCTTTTTAGAAGTCCTTGTCTTCTTCCACATGATGTTTTTAAAAAATTTTATTGTGCCAAGAAGAGTTAACTTAAGACCTACTCTTTTAACAAATCTTTTAAGTGTTCAATATAGTATTGTTGGCAGTGCTGTACAGCAGATCTCTAGAGTTTATTCATCTTGCTTAATCGAGACTTTACATTCCTTGGTTAGTAACTCCCCATTTCCCGTGACCCTAACCCTGGCCACCACCATTCCACCCTTTGGTTATATGGATTTGACTGTTTTAGATACTACATGTTAAGTGCATTCATGCAGTATTTCTCTTTCTGTGACTGGCTTATTTCATTTAATGTTCTCAAGGGGTTCATCCATGTTGTCGCATATTGCAAAATTTCCTTTTTTAAAGGCTAAATAGGAGTCCACTGTACATATAAAGCACATAGTCTTTACCCATTCGTATGTTGATGGGCATCTTGGTTGTTTCCATATCTTAGCTATTGTGAATCACATTGCAGTGACCATGGGAGTGCAGGTGTCTCTTTGAGAGCCTGATTTCAGTCCTTCTGGGTCAATACCCAGTAGTGGGGTTGCTGGATCATACGGTAGTTCTGTTGTTAGTGTTCTGAGGGAGCTCCCTAGCTTGCAAGCTTGGAAACCCTGCTTTCAGCTTCTCTACAGAGGCAGGCAGAAGGGGCTCCTGCGTCACTTCCAGTCAGTGTTCTTGAAGCTTTCTGTTGCGTGTTTTCTAGATCAAGTGGATGACTCTTCTCGCATCCGTGTGATCAAGGATGACACCAAGCCCCACGTTCGACCGTGAGTTGGAACAGACTTAGAACCTGGGGGTCCTTCCAAAGTGGGGATATTTTTACCCTCCTTGTGTTCCCCCAGAGCTCCTTCCTCACAGGGGGGTTAGCTTCTCTCTGGGAGAGAAGTGGTAGATTTCTCTGGGTGTATGTGGGAAGTTCCTCCAATATTCCTTCTTTCTGGGCATCCCATAGTTGGACCCATGGGGACAAATGCCCAGGACCCTGGGGTTAAAGGTAGAACTGGTGATGGCACATGTGAGGCTTGAGTATCCATGGAATGTGATTAGAGGGATGTGGCCATGGATGTAGAAGCATGCCAGGCATCAGCATACACCTCCCCTGTCCTGGACCCCAAGAGGGGCACCTGAGGCCAGAAGCCTGGTGATAAAGAAAATTGGAGGAATGGGGGTGTAGCTGGACGGTATCTAGAACACTTGTCCATGTCTGTCAGGGGTGGCGAATACTCCCCAGATGCATCCGGGAGATGACAGAGGTTTCCACAGAGCAGGGCTGTGGCCTGAGAGCAGGGCACGTCACACATCTCCGTCTTATTTCCCATCTTAGTCACATGTGTATGTCTCGTGTGTGGCCTCATTTCAGACACATCAGCATAGGAAGCGAGTTTCAGGCCGAGATCCCGGAGCTCCAGGAGCGCCCTCCAGACGAGCCCGGTGAACATGGAGCTTCTCTGGTCTGGAAGCCATCGGATGACATGATGACCAATCCAGAAACACAGGATAGAGGTGGCTGCGACATGGGGGCCAAATTCCCAAGGGTACCCCCTCTTCCCTCATCTCCAAGGAGATCCTCCTCCCAGGCCTCACCGGGACCAAGAAGCAGTATCCCTGGGTGGGGCACCCGGCTGTGGGACCAGGGCTTCTCCTCCCGCCCCCATTCTCCTCATGCGGTAACCAGCCAGGTCATCCTGAGCAGGTGCCAGGAGCAGCGCTTCTGCCCTTCCTCCTTGTCCTTCCCTTGGCCTGCTTTTCAGGGAGCTGTGAGGGAGACAGGGACAAGGAGCCCCTCTCTGTGCTTTTGGGGACGTCTCCTCCCGGCATTCACTGACTCCCTGTGTCTCCCTCTCTCACACTCTTCTGGGGACGTTTGCTGTGCACAGTGACTGAGCTCTGCAAGATGGCCTCCAGCGCAATGCCAGGAGGGGGCACCAACCTGGAGCTCGCTCTGCACTGCCTGCACGAGGCCCAGGGCGATGTCCCGGTGAGCTGGAGGCAGGGGCGGGCTTGGCGGGTCCCTGGGATGCCCCTGCTGTGCTGAGGCTGGGGATCTGGTGCATGTAACGTGCCATGTGCGGGCTTTGTGGCTCCTGAAAACTGAAAAAGGCCACCCATCCTTCTCCCCAGTGGCTGTGGGGTTGATCTCCTTGTCAGTTGTAGGGCAAGTGTGCAGATGGGGCCCAGTTAGTCAGTTATTTACCTGGGGCAGCAGCAGAGCACCAGGTTCCTCCGAGATCGCAAGGACAGGGGGAGCGGAGCCGAGTAGACTGACTCAGGTCCTGCACTGATCTGGTTTATCGATGGAGCTTTATCTTTTTTATTAAAAACCCATGTACGAAAACTCCTGATGCAACAAAAATATCTCCTTCCTCCAAGGACCTGCTTCACAATCGTGAAGTTTAGAAAATAAAAAGTCCCACTCTGAGTAGTTGGAAGGGAGGTCATGTCACCCGAGTAAGGGCCCCAGGAGTCACTGTTGGCAACTGTACTTTTCCTCAAGTTACAAGGCAGTGGCTGGCACTTAGTAGGTGCTCAGCATAGTAACCAGCACATGTTTGTTTGCCCTCATGAGTGTTGTGGCCCTGGAGCATGGCTGGCTTTGGGGCCCTCCCTCAGTCTAAGGCTCTGCTTCCACCATTTTTGAAATTAACAAATTTTCTAAAAGGGGCCTGTGTTTTCATTCTGCGCTGGGCCCTGCAGGTTCCACAGCCCATCCCGATCGGGTTTACACTGGTGAGCGAGACAAAATCCTTCTCTGTGGGGCTTACGTTTTAATTAGAGGAGAGTCAAAAGGGAAATCTGTTTTTAAAAATTGTTAGTGGTTAGTGCTATGAAGAAAATACAATGGGGCGTGGCACAGGCAGGGCCCCTACAAATGCCAGTCCTTGACGAAGGAAGGAGCTGGTGCCGGAATAAATCCGCACACTGCTTCATTCGTCAAGAAAACCCTACTATGAGAAAAACCCCAGCTGCACTCAGCAGTATGCGTAGTGACGGAGCGGGTACGTCCACTGCAGCTCACAGGCCGCGGCCAGTCCACGGCCCCACCACGCGCTGAGTAGCCCTGGAGCGAGGGAGGCTTTAGGGGAGCCTGTCAGTGCTTTTCAAATGAATGAAAGGATGAAGGCAGGCCTCCACCTCACCTGCCCTCCCTCAGAAAGTCGCCCGCTTTCCTTCCTGCTCCAGGTGGCCCTAGAGACCCTCTTACTCAGCGGACCCCAGAAGCCACCGACTCACCCGCTGTCTGACTATCACTACGCAGGTACTGGAGCGAGGCTGCGGGAGTGGGTGTGCCCGGCTAGTACCCGGGAGCCAGTCGGTCTCGGTGGCAGGCTCTGCTTGTGCCCCTGGGCGTGCTCTTGGGGCCCTCCTCCTGCCTTTCCAGAAGGGCCTTTCCTCTCCGGGGGACCTCAGTGGGTGCCTCTTTCTCCTGGCTGGGTCCTTCCTTCCCCCGTCCAGTGCAGTGGTTCCCTCAGGGGCTGTGCCCAGCCAGGAAGGGGATCCCCTGGCCAGGGAGAGGTGAAGGCGGGCTCAGATTCAGTGGCTGAGCACCCCAACCTGGGATTCAGGCAACTGGGGGTCCCTGCCTCCCGTTGGCAAGTCTGTTAACCAATGGAAGCCTTGTTACTGCATCTGTAAAGTGGGGATAGTATTGGTCCCAACCTGCTAAGGTTTTTCTAAGGATTTTATGAGATAAAACAGAGTTCTTGGCACATACTTGGTACTCAGTCATGGCAGCTTAAAAAGGGCAGGCTGCATTTCTGCCACAGCTGCAGCCGCAGAACTGTCCTTTTCTCTCCTGTTTCTCTGATAGGTTCAGACGTCTGGACCTCCCAGGAGAAGGTTCTGTTTAATAAGGCATTCCAGGCTCACAAAAAGAACTTCCACTTGATACACAAGATGGTAAGGTGTACGTGGGTGGGCTGGTGTAGACAAGGCCTCGACTCACACCGCTGAGCTGAGCTAGAGCTGGAGGGCCTATCGGGGTGACACGCTGTTCACACTGTAAACTGTTTGTAGTTTATAAAGCCATTGATGTGAACAACTCTAGACAGTACAGAAATGCCATCACGTGGTCAAAGCCCTCCGCACCCATCCCCATAGTCCTATTTCTGAATGATGACCTCTGACTTCGGTTGGGCACCTCAGGCATTTCTTTGCCCGTACAGATCTTACATACATATACACATGAATTTAGAAAAGGATGTGATCATACTACACTTAATGTCTGCTGATGTTTTTTGTTCTTTTAACTTGATATACACAAAACTGCACGTAACACAAAATGTACTATTTCATGTTTTGACATATTTATACCTGCAAAACCATCACCATGGTCAAGATAAGAAACACATTCATCACCCCCAAAAGTTTCCTCCTGTCCCCTTGGTAAATCCCTTTTTCCTACCACCCCTGTCCCTCCCTAATCACCTCCTTATCTTCTTTCTGTCACTCCAAATTAGTTTGCATTTTCCAGAGTTTTCTATCTGTCCTGAAGCATGTGCACTGCTTGTCTGCCTTGTGTGACTTCTTACACTCAGCACCATTGTTTTGAGGTTCATCCATGTTATTGTGTGGACCCTTTTTCTTGCTGAGGAGTATTCCATTGTGTGGATGTAACACAGTTCATTTAATCATTCACCTATTGATGGACATCTGTGGGGTTTCCAAGTTATCTGCAATTATAAATAAAGCTTCTGTGAATATTCACATTCAAATCTCTACATGAACAAGTACTGTAGGTGGGGGGGGAGGGCAGCAAATACTTAGGAAAGGAATGAGTGGCTCACATGGTAGGTGTACATTTAACTTTTCAAGAAAGTGCCAAACTTAACCAAAGGGGCTGTACCATTTCACATTCCCACCGGGAGGTACAAGAGTTCCAGTTGCTCCACAACATCTCCAGCACTTGATATGGTCGGTTTTTTTAATCGTAGCCATTCTAATGAGTATGCAGAGGTATCTCACCGCGTTTCCCCCTGACTAATGTTTCTGAACAACTTTTCATGTGCTTGTTTGCTATCTGTGAGCCTTCTTTGGTGTCTGTTTGCTTCTTTGCCTTTGTTTTCACTGGGATGTTTGTGTTTTTATTGAGTTGTAGGAGTTCATTATTTGTTCTGGGCACAAGTCTTTTATCCAGATATATGCTTTGCAAGTATTTTCTCCCAATCTGTAGCTTTTTAGTCTTTTAACAGTGTCTTTTGAAGAAAGTTTTAAATTTTAATTAAATTCTATTGATTACTTTTTCTTTCATGGACCATGATTTTGGTGTTGTATCTAAGAAATCTTTGCCTAACCCAAAGTCACAGAGTTTTTCCTCTATGTCTTCTAGAAGCTTTATAGCTTTAGGCTTTACATTTAGATGCATGGTCCTTTCGGGGTTAGGTTTTGTATGTAGGGCACGGTATGGATTGCAGCTCCATCTTTTCCTGTGGATATTTAGTTGTTCCAGTGCCTTTTGTTGAAGAGGCCATATTTTCTCCACTCAGCTGCCTTTGTACGGTGTCAGATAGCAGTTGGCTGTGTATGTATGGGTTCTTTTTATATGTATTGTTGGATTCTATTTGTTAAAACTGTCTCTGGAATTTCCCCCCCGTGTCCATGGTGGGCACTGGCCTGTCGCTGTCTCTCCTGCGGTGCGTTTGTCTGCCTTTGGGATGGGGGTAGTGCTGACCTTGTAGAATGAGTTCAGGAGTGTTCCCTCCACTTCAATTTTTTGGGGGAAGAGTTTGTTTAGAATTGGATTACTTCTTCCTTCCTTAAATATTTGGGCCTGCAGCTTTCTTTGTGGGGAGGTTTTGAAGTACAAATTCAACTTATTTAATAGATATATGGCTACTCAGGTTATCAATGTCCTTTTGAGTGAACCTTGGTAGTTTTTATCTTTCAAGGACTTTTGTACATTTCTTCTAAGTTGTCTGATGTATTAGCATAAAGTTGTTTATTATATTCTTATATTCTCCTTTTTGAATTTATAGACTATAGTGATAGCCCCTCTCTCATTCCTGGTATCGGTAATATATCTTTTTATTCTGATCTGACTAAAGGCTTATCAATTTTACTGATTTTCTCAAAAAACCAGTTTTGGCTTCCTGGTTTTTCTCTATTTGGTTTATTTATTCTGCAATTTCTTCTGTTTGCTTTGTGTTTAAATTGCTCTTCTTTTACTAGTTTCTGAAAATGGAAGCTGAGCTCATTGATTTGAGACCTTTCTTCTTCCCAAACATGGGTTTGTAGTGCTGTAAGTTTCCCTCAAAGTACTTCTTTGATAAGTTTTCTTATTTTGGGTTTTCATTTTTATTCAATTCAAAATACCTTTTCATCTCCCTTTTGATTTCTTTTTTGAAGTATGAATATTTAGAAGTATGTTAGTCTCCAAATGTTTGAGGATTTTGCATAGTTCTTCAGTTAACTGATTTTTCAGTTAATGCCATTGTGATCAGTTAAATACCTTGCATGACTTGAATCCTTTTAAATTTATTGACCCTTTTTTATAGTCCAGAACATGGTTTACCTCTTGGTAAATGTTCTTCGTACACTTGAAGGTGGTGTACCTGCTGTGGGTGAGTGGAGCTCTATAAATGAGAGTTCGTTGTGGCTCAGAGTGTGGTTTAGGTCTTCCACCCCTTTACTGTCTAATTGTTTCAGCAATTGTTGAGAATGGGATATTAAAATGTTTTCCTATAATTGTGGGTCTATTTTTCCCCAAAGTTCTATAATTTTTTGCTTCATACATTTTGAAGCCCTGATGTAGACATATAAACTTTTAGGATTCTTATGTCTTCTTGATTAATTGACCCTTTTATCATTGTGAAATTATTTAGTTTATCTCTGGAAGTACTATTTGCTCTGAAATCTACTTTTTCTGTATTAGTATATCCAACCTCTCCAGCTTTCTTAAAATGGGTGCTAGCATGCTATATCGTTTTCATCATCTCACTTTTAAACTATTTAGCCTTTATATCTCAAGTGTGTTCTTGTAAATAACATGTGTTCGGTGTTGCTTTTTTATTTCCTATTAAATATTCAGCCTTTTAAATTAGGGTGTTTAGAACATTCACATTTAATGTTGTTACTGAATGGTTAGGTTTAAGTCCATCACCTTGCTATTTGTTTTCTTTTTGTCCCATCTGTTGTTTGGTTCCCCTTTCCACTTTTTCTGCCTTCTTTCGGATTAATGTAGTAAATTTTAGGATTCTGTTTTATCTCCTTTGTCAGCTTATTGGCTATAACTCTGTATTTTATTATTTTGGTGGATGCTTTAGGGTTAATAGTCTGCATCACTAACTCACCCCAGTCTCCCTTCAAGTGACTTGATAACATTTCATGTGCAGAATGACAGCCTTCCAGTAGCGTACTTACATTTCTCCTCCTGGCCTTTATACAATTGTTGTTATGCATTTTATTTTACATATGTTGTAAACCCCACTATACATTGTTGATATTTTTGCTTAAATGGTCAATTATTTATAGAGAGCTTTAAATAATAAGATGTCTTATATAGTCACCCATGTACTTACATTTTCATTGCTCCACATTCCTTTATGTAGATGCATATTTCCATCTGGTATCATTTTCCAGAAGGAAATAAATGTAAGTCATTTAACATTTCTTAAAGTGCAGATTTGCCAATAATGAATTTTTCCAGCTTTTGTATAGCTAAAAAAGAACCTTTATTTGGCCTTCATTTCTGAAAGATATCTTTGTTAAGTGTGGAATTCTAGCTTGACAGGTCTTTTTTCTGTAATTTAAAGAGGTAATTTACTTTCTTCTGGCTTTTATTATTTTTCATAAGAAATCTCCAGATTTCTGTGTCTTTGCTCCTCTGCATATAACATGTCTTTTTTTTTCTGGCTGGCTATTTGTCGGAATTTCTCTTTATCACTGGCTTTGAGCAATTTTATTATGATGGGCTTTGGTGTGCTTTCTTCATTTTTCTTTCTTGTGCTTGCAGTTTGTTGAGCTTCTTGTATCTGTGGGTTTATAGTTTTCCTTACATTTGGGGAAATTCAGTCTTGTTTCTTCAAACATTTCTTGCATCCCCCCTTCTCCTTTGAGGGCTCCACTTAGTGGGCGCTGGGCTTCCTGCAGCTGTCCGGGAGTCACTGATGCTCTTTTCATTTCGACTGAGTCTCTTTTTCTCTGTGTGTTTCATTTTGGATGATTTTTATTGCTGTATTTCCAAGTTCAGTAATCCTTTCTCTGCAGTATCTAATCTGCAGTGTAGTTTTCATCTCAGACATTGTAATTTTAATCTCTAGGAGTTCTTTTTGGGTCTCATTAGTGTCCCATGTCTCTATTTAACTGTTTCAACATATAATGTACAATTATAATGACTTTTAGTGCCCTTTCCTGCTAATTCTAACATCTGTGTCCATTCTGGGTTGATTTTGATGGATTGATTTTTTCCCATTATATGTCATATTTTCCTGCTTTCCATGCCTGGTAGTTTTTCAGTGGATTCCCGGCATTGTGAATGATAGCTTGTTGAGGGCTGGATATTGTTGTATTCTTAGTAAGTATTCTTGAACTCTGTTCTGATACATGGTTACTTGAAAACAACTTGTTCCTTTTGGGCTCTGGTTTTGGATTTGTTTAAATTGGACCATTTTTGTCTAAGGCTAATTATTCCTCATTACGGACGCAAAAGCCTCCGAATTTCTCTATCAATGTCCCATGAACTATGAGTTTTTTCGCACCCCAGCGGGTGGAAACCAGGCGCTATTCCTGGCCCTGTGTGAGGTGCCTTTTCATCTACTTCTTCCAGGCGGTTCTTTACCCAGTTTTGAGCACCTCATATGCCCACGCTGGTCAGCGTGTTGCTGAACGCTGGAGGGGAGCGCCCCCCAGATCCCTGGAATTTTCCTCTGAGCAGCTCTTCCCTGTCCTGCCTTGTCCTGTGAACTCTCACCGCCTTGTTCCCCCAGAACCCCCCCTCCCATCTCAGCTCAGGAAGCCCACCTGGCTCTGCCCGGACCCCTCTCCCCGGGCCACGGCCTGGAAACTCTCCCAGGGTGTAGTGTGTAGGGACAGCGGGGGCTTATTTTCTGTCTCTCAGAAAGACTTGTTCTTGGCTTGCCTAGCATCTCACCAAACATCATTTCAGACATTTTGACTGTTTCTTCTCATTGTTTTGAATGGGAAGGTCAATGTAGCTCCTGCTGCTCCATCTTGTTTGGAAGCAGAAATCCAACTTCTCTTTTTTCCTTCCAACCTAGTGATATTTCTTAGGCAGAGGATTTACTACTCTGGCTCCTAGTCTTCGAAGATATACAGAGCTGAAAAAATTTCATATGGAGAAAGTATTTTCTGAAATGAGCCCCACATCTTAAATGGCCAATTTAATTTTTCTGAGAAATGGTCTTCCTAGAGCAATTAAACTTTCCTGTTTTGCTTTGCTTTTACAGAAGTTATTATTAATGGGGTCCATTCTTAGTGGGGGGAGAGTACATGGTGGGGTCTGAATGCCCAAGGATCTGACTGTGCCCTCAAAAGCCCCTCCTCCTCTCGTGGGCCACCTACCTCTGCACTGCAGGGCTCTGCCTGGCTGTTGCAAAGGCTTTGTGGTATCTGCTGATGAGGGCATCCTGCTGCAGGGAGTCCCAGCTGGTAAATGCATAGCCATTAGGCCTGACGTCACAGTGAGAACCTGTGTAGGGAGCCCTAGTGTACACCTTCACGTAGGGAAGGCCTCCCGGGACTGACTTGGGGCTCAGAGAGCATGCAGAGCTTGGACTGTGCTGGCTATGGCGGCGTCACCCTGAGCCCCTCATCAGCAGCAGGACTCTGTGCTTCTGTGCTCCTTGTAGCCCAGGGGCGTGCCAAGCCCAAGGGGAGAGACATTCCAGGAGAGCTTTCAGGAAGTGACTGGCCCCATGGCGAGGGGGCGTGTGGGGCAGTGCCCAAAGCCTGCTGCTGTTTTCTTTCACCAGGTCCGGACAAAGACAGTGGCCCAGTGTGTAGAATATTACTATACCTGGAAAAAGATGATCAAGTTTGACTGTGGTCGGGCCCCAGGACTGGGAAAGGGGGTCAAAAGAAAGTTGGATGAGGCAGACCCAACAGAAAGAAAGGTAGGGGATTCTGGGGCAAGGGGGTCTCACTGGAGTTCAGTGCTGGTCTGGACAGCTACTGACCACCCAGGTCAGGGTGGGGAAGGGGCTCCTACAGGGGAAAGCATCGCCCTCAGAAGGGTGGAAGGTCGGCACCCTGATGTCATTTCTGCCCCTTCTGCAGGCCACTTGCAGCCCTAAGGAGAGACCCAACCGCCGTCCAACCCGTGAGTTGAAGATAGAAACGGAGAGTTGCAGGGTAGAATCCGTCATCACCACCAGCCCAAGTGCTGGTCCCAAGCGGACCCCTGAGCCTCCGGGGCATGTCCAGGGCCAAGGCGCTTTTCCCTGCAGGGAATGTGAGAGGTGGGCACCAGCCCTGTCCCCGGATGCACCCACACAGCCTGCCCTCTGTCTCCGTGGGCCCTCAGCCCACCTTCCCCCTGCTCTGACCCATGTCCTCTGCTGACTCTGCAGGGTATTTGACAAGATCCAGAGTCGAAATGCCCACATGAGGCAGCACCGGCTTCAGGACCCCGTGGAACCAACTGTCAGGGCAGAGAGACCAGCGAAGGCCTTTAAGCTGAAAGAGGAGGAGAAGGAGGAGGAAGGGGAGATGGGGGCTGACATGGGCCCCTTGCAGGGGTGATTTGGGCCGTGAGCCGGGGCAAGGGAGCAAGTCATCAGGATGACGACCTCGGGCCCTGTCACCTCTCCCTTTGGCCTCCCCAAGGTGTTCAGGGCATCCCTCTGCCTCCACCACCACCCCCACCTGCCTAGAGAAGGCCGAGGCGTGGACACCCAGTGGGAAAATACCTCCGGATCTCCCAACATGTCAGACTCCTCATCAGGAGAGTGTGCCCTCTGCATTTAGCCCCTAGTATGACAATGACTTTGTACATTCTTAGGTTTTTTTTGTACATGTCAATTTGTAAATCTTATTAAATTGTGTTCTTAAGCAGCTGTCTTCTGGCTTCTCTGGCCTGTTGAGCCAACAAAGGCTTTAGGGCTCCTGCCAGTCACCAGCGCCACAGAAACGAGTGAGCTTAGTGTCCGCCCTGGAGGGGCAGGGTCCCCATACATTCCGGGAACCGGCCCTGAGGTGCCCACTGCAGTGTGTGTCAGCACCCAGTCCATGCAGTGGGCCCACAGCGACACAGGAGGGACACAGGTGCTCCCCTCAGGGAGCTCACATTTTAGGAGCAGGAGAGCAGCAGGAATAAATAAGCAAAGTGGTTTTAGCTCCTGCTTTGGGCCATAAGGACAGAAGAGTCAGCAGCGTGGTGACCAGCAGTCAGGACATGACGGGGGTTCCAGTGTGTCCGGGGTGAAGTCAGGGTCTGCCAGCAGCGGCCAGCTCAGCATGCGGATCGCAGCGGGGACGAGGATCCCCCCCTCCTGCCCCGAGGTCCACACCAGAGGGCACAGGAAAGAGCACGTTCCTCCCTCCCTCCTCGTGTCCCTCTTTAAGAGCGGGGAGGCTTGTAACGGTCTCCAGAAGAAGGCCTCCGGGTCCACTGGTCAGGACGGGGGCCCATGCTGTTTCTAAACTGATCCCTGGCAGTGGGAAGCGATATGGCGCAGTCATCCCCATATCCAAGGTCTCCTCAGGACCGGGGGAAACCAGCATGTTCGCCCAGGTTTCCTGCCTCCTGACGAAAGCGGAAGTTCTTCCTGCGGGAAAAGAAGAGGAAGCATGAGCGGCTACCGGGTCGGCAGCCCTTGCGTCCACCACAAGGTGACGGGAGGGAAATAAGGCAGGGGCTCAAATCCTAAGGAGTGACCAGGGTGTGGCCGATGGCGTTAGGGGGACGGCCAGGGAAGGCCACCCAGAGGAGGCTGCTGGGGCCACGGTCTGGACTCCAGGCCACGGCACGGCAAGTGCTGCCACGGGAACTAGCGGAGGGTTCAAAGCTCTGTGGCTGCTGTGCCGAGGTTGCAGGAGGCAGGACGGCAAGCCTGGAGAGGTGACAGAGGCTCTCAGACGACGGTGGCCTGGGCTGGGTAGCCGTAAAGAGGGACAGAAACTCAGGGATTAGGGACGCGTCTCAGGAGACTCAGACTTACTGATGGGTCACACGTCACAGAGAGAGGTGAAAAAGGACAGATCAAGGCTGGCCTGCTAGGTTTGGAGCTCGAGCGCTGAGTAGATGCCATTAAATCAAACGGGAAAAAGGGACACATCAGAGGATTGATTGCTTCAAGCTGTGATTGTGTCTGTGTTCTGAGAGACTGGTGAGTGGAGGATGGTAGATGGTAATGTCAGAAGGTTTCAAGGAAGAGCCATATTTCAGCTAAGTAAACTTAAAGATCGAGTGGGAGGAGGGGCAGAAGAGGAAACTGAGTCTGAAGTGGTTCGGACATCGTGGTTGAGGTAAAGGACTCAGGTATCAGATGGACCAGAATGTGGGTCCTGGCTCCTCTTCGTCCTCGTGACCTGGGGCTGGCCACTTTCCCTGTTGGAGCCTCAGTTTTCTCAGTCTGTGAAATGGGACAGAAAGTGCCCACTACCCGCATGTATTTGTTAAATGAGAAAACATAAGTCTTTGGCAGGGTGTACCATAGGAAGTGAGCAGCTGCTGTTTAAGGAGCATTCGTACTATTGCTATTATTGTTTGGGTCCCACTCTAAAGAATAAACCAGATGATTGTGGAAATGAAAGACTCCATATTAAAGGGTTGGGTGGTATATTAATCTGTGCTGCATAAAAGAAATTACCCTAAAGTTTAACAGCTTAAAACAAATGGAAGCTTTGATAATAGTACTCCTTAGAAGGACATGGAACTGAAACCGCTTGTGGTAATCCAGACGTCCACCTGATCTATGGTCGGAATATAGTGGCAACCCCAAGTGGATGGTCCAAGAGAGTCTTTGAATGTAAGAAGTTATCTGGGTGGAGGTTTCTTGTGAATTACGCACCTCTGCTAAACTCCACCTCTGCCCCCAGGTAGCAATGTTTTCTCAACCAGAGGTCCCTGAATTTTCTCTGCATCCTAGTTGTCTGAGGTCCTGTAAAAATGTATATTCCTGTAACCCACCACAGACTTTCATAATTGGAAATTATTGGTGATAGGGTCCTGGAACTTGGATTTTTTAAAAGAAGGTTTCTTATAGAATACTTTTTAGATTTACAGAAAAATTGGGAAGATGGTACAGAGAATTCCCATATACCCCACACCCAGTTCCCCCTGTTAACATCTTAAATTAGTATGGCATGTGTTAGTGAGGCCAGGGTTCTTGTTTGCGGAGTTGAAGAATGAACTTAGCAAACACCCAAGGTAGGAGAGCCAGGGAGACTTTCATTGAGAGATGCAGTGAGAGGACAGACAGCGCTCCTGGCTCACGCCAGGAGGGGACAAGAGAGCCGGGGGTGGTGTGTTGTCTAGGGGTTTTATAGGCAGTTGAGGATTTTGGGGAACCGGATAAAAGGCTTAGGGGTGTGGAGTTAAGTGGTCCCTGAATATTAAGAATTAACACAAGAAATTTACTGCTCCCATTTTTCTCTGGGATACTGGCGTCTTGGTCTAGGAACATATCAAAAGGCCGTCTGCCCAGCCCCCAAGGTGGGCTGAGGTATTGTATGTTTGCTAGAAAGTAAGTTAAGAATCTTACTTCTTAAACTCCCTGGGTGTTAAAATGCAGTCTTATCTTTAAGGTGGAATCCTTCCTGCTTTTACTATATTGTTTACAGCTGGGTCTGCATGCTAAATTAGTTGCCCAGTTTGCAAAATCACCTCCTCAGATCTGAAGGAGGAAAGACAGCACGTAGGCCTGGGCCTTTAGCATGCTAAAGTGAATCTTACACATGATTACAAATGATTAGCATAATAAAAACATGTGCTACTCTTCTTTATCTGGGGAATATTAACTGATGTCACTGAAGAATGGCCCTAGAACTTAATGTTTAACAGAGTTTTGGTAGGGGGTTTCCTTGCATGTAGTTACATTGCTCTGACTGCAACTATCCTGCCTTGCTTTTCCTGGAGGCTTTCGCCCTATTCTGTCTAAGCCCATGGTCCCTGTCTCATTAGAACTAATGAACTGATATTGATACCTTATTATTAACTAAAACCCATACTTCATTCAGATTTCCTTAGTTTTTACCTAGTGTTCCTCTTCTGTTCCAGGATCCCACCCAGGATCCCACCTTACATTTAGTAGTCATGTCTCTTTAGGCCCCTCTTGGCTGTGACAGTTTCTCAGACTTTCCTTGTTTCGGATGCCTTGACAGCTTTGAGACGTCCTGGTCAGGTATTTTGGAGATTGTGCCTCAGTTGGAATTGTGTGTTTTTCTCATGATTAAACTGGAAGACCATAGAGGTGAAGTGCCACTGTCATCACATATTATTAAGGGCACATGTATCAATGTAATGATTTATCACTGTTGGTGTCAGCCTCAGCCACCTGGCTGGCAACGTTTGTCAGGTTTGTCCACCCTAAACTTGGTCTTCCTCCCCATACTGTACAGGAAGTCACTTAAGGAGGAAGGAGTTGTGCTCCACCTTTTTTATTTTGGTATTAATATACAATCACATGAGCAACATTGTGGTTTCTAGATTCCCCCCCTTATCAAGTCCCCACCACATACCCCATTACAGTCACTGTCCATCGGCGTAGTAAGATGCTACAGAGTCACTACTTGTCTTCTCTGTGTTGTACTGCCTTCCCAGTGCCCCCCTCCACATTATGTGGGCTAATCATAATGTCTCTTATTCCCCTTCTCCCTCCCTCCCTCTGCACCCACCCTCCCCAGTCCCTTTCCCTTTGGTAACTGTTAGTCCATTCTTGGGTTCTGTTGCTCCACTTTCTTGAGGGTGGAGTATCTACATAAATTATTTGGAATTCTTCTGCAGGGAATATTTGTCTTCTCTCCATTTATTTGTTCATTTATGTCAGTATGGGCTCATGGATATTTTATGCTTTGAGTTCTAATTCAGTACTAGCTTTTTCACTTAGCTCCTGTGTGTGTGTGTGAAAGAGAGGAGCAAACACACACTTCCTCTTTGGCGGTACTAGACGCTCCAGGCCCATCTTGTATGATATCGGCCAATTCTACAGAAGCCCTGATTCCTTTCATTGGAGAATGATACTTCAAAAACCGATATCTGGGCTCTAGATGTGCTCAAACCTGAATTTTTAACATGCTCTTTCCAACTATTTTTATGAAATCAGAGTTACAGAATTTCAGCTCTCAGTTTTGTGCCAGTCTCTCAAGTACCTCACCAGCCTCTCCAAACCATTTTCAGCATCCCTCGGTAGAGGGCGCCAAAGGCCGACCGGATTCCTTTCAATCTGATAGGACTTTCTAGGGAAGAAAGACGAGATACGGAGCGGACGCAGGTACTAAACTGCGTGAGAGAACTGTCAAGGCCGGGCGGGGGCGGGGTGTGTCTCCCGGCCGGCCGGGGCCTGTCACGTGATGACGTGAAGTCAGCTGACTAGGGTCCAAGTTCCGCAGGTAAACACGGCCCTCAGCCAGGGGCTGCTGGCGATTGGTGAACACCTTGGTGCGGGTCCTCGACAATGGGGACGACGATTGGTTTACGGGGCATCACGTGGCGAAGGTCGCACCGGAAAGGTTTGTGGGGGAGGGTACTATACTTGGATGTATGCGCGTGCGTCGAAGCTTCCTGTCGCCGATTGGAGGCGGTGAGTATTGGGCAGTTTGCGCCAGCTGGAGGGGCGGAGCCGGCGGGCTCGCGCTTCGCTCTAGGAGACTGCTGGTTGGCCCGCGTGGATCACAGGGCGCCGGGCAGAAGGCGGCGCGTGCGGGTGCGACGTCAACGCAGCCCGTGAGCTACCGCGACCTGTGTACGGCGGCGGGGCCGCGGCTGAGCCCTACGAGGCCGCGTCGGACGGTTTGCCGAGTACATTTTCGGCCGCCATGGACAACTCTGGGAAGGAAGCGGAAGCTATGGCGCTGCTGGCCGAGGCGGAGCGCAAAGTGAAGAACTCGCAGTCCTTCTTCTCGGGCCTCTTTGGGTAAGAACCGCGCCAAGGGGTCGTTCGGGACCTAAGCTGAGATGACAGAGCGCCGTGGCCTGAGGCGGCGGGACAGGGCCGAAGGGCTGGAGCCTAGAGGACGGAAGGGACTCCGGGATGAGGTGTCGTAGTCTACGGCTGCGGAGGGGTTACAGGGGGTCTGGGCTGTGGCAACACGGTTTAAGGAGAGACACCATGAGATAGTGGAAGGCCCCCAGGTCCCTGGGCCGAGGACACCCAAGTCGAGGCCACACCATCTTGAGGAAGGAAGGGGACCCAGGCCGACGACGGGCCAAGGAGCCAGAGGGGAACCTAGGCCAAGGGAAGATGGCCTGAGGCCTTGAAAGGGACCGGCCTGAAGGGCTTGAGGGAGCTCGGGAGAGTAGCCAGGTCAAGGAGTCTTTTGGAGCCCAGGGAGAACCTATTCGAAGGATCTCTGACGGGCTGATGAGGCTTAGGACCGAGGACACCTGACTGAGTTACTGACCTTTCCAAGGCCGGCGGCAGCGTGTGTGCCAGAGCTCTGGGTGGTGGGGCTAAGGTGGCCCTGCGAGTGATGAACCCGAGCCTGGGGTGTGTGAGAATGCCTGAGAGGAAGCTAGCTGCAAGAGCTGGAGAAAAGGTTTGGACTTGGGTTGTTGGGGAACATTGAGGATTTTACTGCTGTGACAAAATGCCATAGACTGGGTGGCTTATAAACAAAAATTTAATTCTCAAGAGTTTTGGACACTGGAAAGTCCAAGATCATGTTGCTGGCAGATTTGGTGTCTGTTGAGGGCCTGCTTCCTCATAGACAGCCATCTTCTCCGTGCCCTCCTATTGTGGAAGAGGGTGATGGAAGGTGATTAGCCTCCTACACAAAGCTCCCAGAGGCCCCCATCTTAATACCATCATCTAGGAGGTTAGGATGTCAACACATCATTTTCGGACGTACACAAACATTCCGTCTGTAGCAGGGCCAATCCTGGGGGCGGTTCCCATTTGCTTGTTGGAAGGTCTACAGCTGCTGGTGTCAGAGAGAGCGAGGGCAGCCTGCAATATAAGCAGATAATGTTTACTAAGCGCTCACTCTGACTCAGGTCTGGCACTGGCACTTTACTACGTTGTCGAGTTTAGTCTCACAACATCCCTGTGGAGGTGGACAAACGTGCTTAGAGAAGTTGATGTATCTGCTCCATCTCCATAAAGTGGGAGACCGAGGCCCATCTGATCCTAGAGCTCTCTCTGTGCCACATGAGTTTCTCCTGGGGGGTACAGCCTGTTTCTGAGTACTACATTTAGGAAGGATGTTGGCAAACAGGAATCTCAGGGAGCCTGTAACTCCCCCGTCCCTCCCCACCCCAGCCTACATGGCAGTTTTCTCCAGACATTTGAAAGAAAGCAGGTGTGTTCATCCTGGTCATTTCCAGCTCCAAGAGCTGTTGAGATGGTGCTGAAAGGGGAGTGGGCAAGGTGAAAGCAGAGGGCAGGACTGTGGAAGGGAGACCAGCCTGAGCGGGGCCTGCCTGTCTGAGACCTGGGAGTACAGCGAGAGCGCTGCTTCATGGGTCAGAGCCACTCCTGGCCTCTGCTTTCCTCTGGGGCTGGGTTGCCTGTGTTCAACATTTCACAGCCCCGCTTTTCTCAAGGTCCCCAGTGGTTTCTGGTGACTGGAGAAGGAAGCATTGGGGCTTAGCCAGGCCCTTGTGCTTCTCCCTTCCTCTTCAGGGAACTCAGCAGTGACAGCATCCCAAATTGAGAGGCCTCTGGGATGTCAGAAGGGCCAAGTAGGATCGCCCCCACCTGGGACCGAGGGCAGCCCGTGCCCGTGGTGGTAGGGCCTTCTTTGATCTTCATTGTTTCTGGGCTGCCGGAGGCTGGGACACTTTGGTGCACCAGCAGCCTGCGAGGGAGGCAGTACCAGCCACCGAGTAGATCCCCGCTCCTCTGTACCTTCCCTCCTGCTGCTTTTTCCCACTTAAGTCCTGCACCAGTGTGCAGGCATCTTGGGGAGGAGTGTTGTATGGGGCTGGGGGAGCACCCCAAACTAATGCTCCCAGAGCAAACCAATGGAGATTTCTTAGTAAGACACAGTGAAACAGCGAAAGGGGAGAGGGGAGGTGCACTTTTTCCTCTTTCCTGCTCTTAAGTCTCCAGGTGTATCTGAAATTTCCCTGCTGTGCCTCTTTGGAAGGGTACAGATTCTAAACGGTGGCTCTGTTACTTGGGGCTTTTCCTTACCCCTAACACCTCCCCCTTTGCCCCTGCTACCCAAATCCAAAATAAAAACTTCTTACCATTTGGATACCAAAGTGCATAAAAAGTTCCTTCATCTGTGAAATAAAAACTATAGTAATAACCTAATTACGGGGTTGTTCCAAGGAGTAAATGAGGTTAGGCATGTGAAGTGGTAAGAGCACAAAGCCTGACTCTGCTAAGTGCCTATTAAGTGCTCACTGCTATTACTGTTAGGTATTGCTATTGGAAATTGAGCTGGTGACGCTGGAAATAGAGATGACAGAGTGTTGTGTATACAGACAGCACGTTCCTAGAGATTGAATGTTGACCAGTCAGTCACCCTTGAACCTCCAGTAGGCATCAGCCACCCCAGGGGCCCTGGAAGGCAGCTTTTGTGAGGGAGGAAGTGCTGCAAGGTGGTGTCTGGTGTCTCGGTACAGGATCCACATAGGCCCTTAGCTACGCCGGCTGTGGGAGTGACCACTTCCAGCTTTGCTTCCAGACTGCTTTCCTCCTGCAGAACGTGCAGAAACGTGGTGCTGTTCCCCACAGGCACTGTGTCCTGCCCGCTGCCAAGATCCACAACTGAAACATGGCATCTCTTGCCCAGTGTCAGAGTGGAGTCTTTCCTGTGAGGATGCAAGGCTTCTGGGTAACCCAGCCATTATTTCACTGCAATCCCAGGGTTCTGCCTTCCTCATTGAATGGGACTTTGCTGCCTGGTCTTCCAGAGTTTTCAGTGCTGCTATGTGGGATGGAGCCAGAGAAGGTCTTTCAGAAACATCTTTTAAGAGAAGGAAACACACTCAGCTCTGGGGCTGCAGTGAAGTCCTCTCTTTGGGGTGCAGAGGGACATCAGTGTAGGAACCACAGGAGTGCCCACCAGGCCACGTGGCAGGCATGCTTTGCTTACAGTCTGAGGGCCCATAAGTAAGTACTGTCAGCATGATGTGGTACGGGGCGGGGTAGTGGGGAGGCCCAGGGCTCTGGAAACCAGAGGAGGGGTGACACTTAGCTGTCTCTGGCTAGGGGAGACAAAGCCCACACTGGAATTCGAAGTAAGTAATATTTCTGGGGGCTGCTGTCTCTGCCAGCCTGCTGAGAATGATGTGGGGCTTCCTGGGAGATGGCTGGTGCTTCCAGCAGCCCTGCCAGGTGTGGAGTCTTAGCCCCAGTTACAGATGAGGAAATGGGCTGTCAAGCCACAAACTGACATTTGAATCCAGGCCTGTCTGACTACAGCCTCCGGTTTTTTTTTTTTACCACCCCAAGTGGCTCTACAATTCCCATTGTCCGGTGGCTAGCGGCCTCAGAGTCTATTCCTTCTCCTCAATAAAACAGCAAGCATTTGAGCATCTGCTCTGTGCTGTGCTCTGTGCCAGGTAGTGGCATGTGTGTCATTTCTACTTCTCACAGACTCGTTCTTCTCAGGTTAGGTTCACTGTTTCTGTTTTATGGATAAACTGAGGCTCAGGGATTGCCAGCCCAAAGTCACACAGTTAGCAAAGTGCCTGAAACTGATTTCAGCCCACATCTCTTAACCCCCACATCCATTCTCTTTCTACACCATGTCCATTACAGACAAGTCACAAGTGTCCTGTGACAATTTCAGAACCGAGCAGTTAGTCTGTACAGCGTTTTTTCTTTCATCATTACTGGGGCCTGTGTGAGCACCGGGGCCCCAGCTCATACCCGCTAGGAGCTCATACCCCCTAGGCCTACAGGAGCGGGTGCGCTGCAGAGCCAGGGACTTAGTACTTGTAGGTGATACAGGAGGAGATGTGGAGGGATCCTGTGGCTCTGACTGCTCAGTGCTGTCAGCAGAAGAGCAAGGCTGGTGGCTGCCAGCTCCCTGTGCCGTGTGGGTTTTCATGTTTTCTGATGTTCCTCTGCCTGCATCACTGTATGGTGGGCTCCATGGGGGGCTGGCTTAATGACTCCCTCCCTTGACTGTAGAGGCTGCTTTGCGTGGCTCCAGCCGAGAGCAGAGTCTAGCCGGAAGAGGGAAACCTGAGCAGTGTCACTTGTTTAGTGCAGAGAAGAGGCCAGAGCAGGCAGGGACCTTGTCTGCCTCCTCATTTTCCAGAAGACTTTTGGACCTGGGGAAGGAAGCCTTCCAGATCACTGAGTGAGGCATGGCAGAACTGGATCTCCAAGGCCTGAGTTCCTTTTCCTGGGCCTGCCACTTCCTAGCAGTGTGAGCTTGGGCAAACCCCTTGACCTCTCCAAGCCCAGCTTCCTCCTCTGCAAAGCAGGGGTAATACCCAGCAGGTTATTGTGAGGAACTCCGCTCCTTCCGGTGGAGTGCCTGGTAAGCCACTGTTAATGAGTAATGAAGATGCATAGCGTGTGAGAGAAGGCAAGAGTGGGATAAGCCCCTGGGCTCACCCTTCCCCTCCCAGAGCATAGAGGGCCGGTGGCACCTCAAGGCACAGAGGAATAGGGAATGTCAAAGACCTAAAATGGGAGTTCCTCCATCTGCCCTGCCTTTTGAGGTCCTTAGAAAACTGCAGGTGGTGGTGGGGGTGGTGACCTGTTTCTGGGAGCCAGGAAGTGCCCAGGGGATGGAAGAAGGAGTGAGGGAGGCTAAGAGTGCCCTGCAGACCCCTCTGGCCTGGGTCCCACCGGGCCGTCTGTGATTCCTGGCACAGCTCAGTCCTCTCCATATGGCAGTCTCCGGAGGATGGTGGCTGCGCCTGGGAGACCTGAGACTGCTTCCTCCGCCTGGGGAGGGGGAGAAAGCAAAGCTGAGTGGGTAATTATAGACAGGCTGCGCCAGGCCAGCCCAATCCAGTTCCCTCTATTCCCAGCATGGGCTCAGAGCCGAAACAGAGGCAGCTTGGAGGAGGTCCGTGGGGGAGGGACAGTCAGCTGTTGTGTGCTGCCACCCAGGCTTCAGAAGAGGGAGGGAGGCCCAGCAGGCTTCTCTGGCCCTCATGCAGAAGGCAGAGGGAGAAGGCCTGGTTTCTTACCCTCAGGAGTTTGTGATTTTGCTCAGGGAGGCCACCCTACATGAGTGACATGAGCCAACCTGACTGGGGAGAGAAGTTCTGTAGTAAATTAGGCAGATTTACCATGTCAGGAGACAGCGTGGTACATCAGTGGGGCTGGGGACTTCCTCCTTCCCAGTCACTTTCCCTGCCAGAACCTTCCTGTTACATTCAGATGGGGCCTAAGCCCTTATCCTGGCCTCCATCACAGGGACCTCTGCCTGCCTCTCCAGCCTCATTTCCTGCCTCTCCCTGCACCATAGCCACCCTGGCCTACTTTTTTTCCTGGAACTGACCAAGATTGTTTATGTCTCAGAGCCTTTGCACATGCTGTGACTGTTGCCTGGAATGCTCTTCCCTTTTGTCATGGCTGTCTTCTTAGTCATCATTGAAGGACAGGCACAAATCCCACACCAGCTCTCCCTGACCTGCCCTAGTCCCTCTAGTGTTTAAATCACCTTGAAATTGTCTTGCTGACTTTTGTTTGCTGAGGGCCGCATCCTTGGTACACTGCTGTTATCGACAGTGTCTGGCACATAATAAATGCTCAGATGTTGGTTCCCCAAATGAAAATGGCTTCTCTTGCAGGATCTGTCAGTGACCCTAGGTAAATCACTTTTCCCCTTTGGGGACTCTACTTCCATCTCTGAAAGAAGAATATGGAACTCCAGAGATTCCCCTGGCATCACCTGGTCGTGCAAATGGCCAGGACCCGAGCATGGAGGAGGAGAAAGCGGGCCTGGAGTCTTGAGCAGAGGTTAAACCCTCTGGCTTTTCCACCTAGAATTGTTGACCCAGTGCAGGGCTGGCCTGGGATCATAGAATGTCAGCCAGGCAGCTGATAGGCTTTGTATTTGGTGTCCACTTTGCCCCACTGAGCTGAAACAAACAGCTGAGGCTGACTCTGTTCATTGTTGATTGTCAGGCTTTGGGCCTTAGTGGGATGGGCCATTTCTGCTTATCCAGGAGCCTGAGCTTTTTCAGGGAATGTCTGAACCTGTATAGGACTTAATATACCCACAAAGAAGGGGGGATGAGCTAGGGGATCCATTGGGTGAGGAGACCTGTGATATGGGTCTGTGAACACATTAGTCCCTTTAAGAGAACATTCCAGAGACTGTCCCCCTGAGGGTTTTTGCAGCCAGGCCCCAAAGGACCCTTCTGAAATCTCTTCTGCCGGAAGGTTGTGAAAGTTCTTCACTTCTCCAGAACCAGGAGTGGGTTCACTCCAAACGGTGGCCCCAGGCCCAAACTGTGTGGAGCCATGGGGGGAGAGCTTTGTCGGGGAAAGACTATGGGACCCAGCAGGTGAATGTGGAGGGGTGCGTTCCTGAGGGCCACTTCCTGAGGAACAGCAGTAGGTCAGGGAGAGCATCAGCACAGACCCAGAAGGCAGAGGCGTCCTCTGGAGGAGGACCTTAGCTGGTGCCATTCGGGTTCAGGAGGCTGGGACTTAGTCCCCAAGCCCGCCCCCACCGCGGGTACCTGCAGAGTGGCATAGCCTGACCTGGAGATCTCTACTTTGGTGGCTGCTTTCCACGCGGTGGGTCTAGGTCAGCTTTTTCCCTCCCAAACTCCCCTGATCTTTCTAAATCACCTGGGACCATTGTTCAAAATCCCGACTCTAGGCCCCACCCAGACCTACTGAGTGAAATCTCCAGGGAGGCTTTGGGGCTTGGGGGCTCTGATTTGATTGTTATAATGAGCGCCTCCTGTAATTCAAAAGAATGGGCAGGTTGGCCCTCCTGCCCTGGTGCTGCAGGGTGGGGGAGAGCTGGACAAGGCTCCCAGAATCACACCAGAGGACCCCGCCAGGGCTGGTGAGTCTTCAGGGCCAGCTGACACAGGGGTGAGGGACGGTGAAGATGATCTCTGTGCTTTTAATTGGGAAAATCTTTCTTTTCCCGCAAAACAACACACCAGGTGATGTCAGTGAAGAAAGAATCTGAAATCCATTTGGTGGAACCCTCTGAATGTGTGGATTTTACTCTGCTGGTTGTGAGGGAGATCGGAGTTTGAGCAGTTACAGAGACCACAGACCTCAGGGCCTGAGCTTGGTTGGATTTTTGGAGGTGGAAGGACAGAAGAACATGGCAGGGACTCGGGGGAGGTTCTGATGAAGGGTCCCCCAATTCACGAAGAGGTTCATATGCACCCCTTGGAGGTCAGGAAGCCAGAGTAGAGGTGCCCAAACTCTTCATTTGTTTAAAATGGTCTCTATATCTCCTAGGCTCTACTGTTACACAATAGGCTTTTTGAGGGTGGTTTTGCCATTTTAAATAATTCTGTGCTGAATATCCTTGTAACTTCTCTGATTAGTTTCTTAAGATAAATAACCAGAAAAGCAATTCATTGCTGGACAACAGGACCAAATATAAACCCTGATATTTAAAAAATACATATTTTTTTCTCGAATAGATAAAATATGCAGATAATAATTATAAAAAATATTCAGACAGCACAAACCAGGGGTATGATTAGGCCTGTCTCCCACACCTGCCTGCAGTTCTACTGACTATACCTTAGAGAAAAATGCTATGACTAGTTTTTTTGTATTTCTCCAGAAATGGTCTGTGTTTACATAACTGGCTCTTCTTGTCTTCTTTTTTCTTTTTTAAATATAGATGGGTGCATTTTATATACATACTTTTAAACAGTTTTTCTTTGTATGGTTATATATCATAATATATCTGTCCAGTCCTCAATTAGCAATGACACATTTTTAGGGTTGGAGACCTTCACTAAACCACTTTAGCATGCAGAGCAAGGGATTGAGGCACTGGAGAAAGGACAAGGCTTCCAAAGCCGGGTGCCTCCCCCAGAATGCTTTAGTGTCTCCTGGGGAAAGGGGATTCGCAGAAAGCCTGGGAACCAGTGATCACGGAGCAGCCCAGGCAGGAAGTGGAAGACGCTGTCAGAGGTAAGGCAGGCTGGGAAGTGCCCCCCTGCCCCCGTGCAGTGAGGGACAACCCAGTCCTCTCCTGGGGGGCCCAGGAAGCCTGTATGGAGTGTGCCTCTGTGTGAGGGGGTGGCGCCACGGACTTGGCCTCTCCTGAGCCGGCAGCACAGGCCTGGGCTACAGCTGGATTCAGGGAAGCTGGCTTCACAGGGAAATCATGGGGGTGCAGACACATCTTCACTATTGCTGGGGCAGAATGCTGGCTTTCTCTTCAATACCAGACTAGTTTGTCTCATCTTTTTTCCCTTTTCTCCCCAGAGGCTCATCCAAAATAGAGGAAGCATGCGAAATCTACACCAGAGCAGCAAACATGTTCAAAATGGCCAAAAAGTGGAGTGGTATGTGATCTCTGCTGGAGCTCCTTCATGGGTCTTTCTCCTCTCGCCCCTCAGTTACCAGTCCCACCGGCCTGGCGAGAGGTTCGCCCTGCAGCCCGCCTTCTTTTAACACCGTCTCCACACCAGAAACCCATCGGCCTGCCATCTGGTCGTTTTGAGCCCCCTGGGTGATTTTATAACGTGGGTCCCAAGGCCTTGGAGACAGGACTCAGAACTTGGCTCCTCCCGATCAGTTTCCCCCTCAGCACAACAGTGGGGAAGTGATAGTCCTGAACCTGTGGGGCCGCAGTACGGCTCTGTGGGCACCGGGCCCCGCCGCTGAGGCAGGCGGCCCGCGGGGACAGCGGCGGCTGCCCACTGCACATGCGCGGCTTCGGGAGCAGTGCCGCTCCCGCTCTTGAGTGGGAGGAAGGCTCTTAGAGGACGCCGGGTTTCAGAGCACCCAGCCCCTGTGCTCTCACTCGGGCTGGGAAGAGGCGCACATGGGCTGCGTCACACAGTGCTGGACGCCCCTCCCCCCACAGAGGTCACCTGGACCCCTGTGTTAGTGGGTGGTGTGTCATTGAGTCGGGGCTCTTCTGACTTGGCCTGGCACGTGGTCAGTCTCTGGCAAGGCTAGAGCTTGGGTGGCATCCGCCAAGGAGGGGTGGGTGGAGTGGAAGAGCTGTCTGGGAGTTGGCAGGGGGGAGGGCAGAGTTGACCACCCAGCATGGCAAGCGCACTGGGGGCTGGTCTCATCTTAGCAGTTTTGAGCATCAGCAAGGCTTAGTCCAGGAAATCAAGGAAAGACAGTTTTTGGAAGCCAGGAAGGAACTTTCTGACCAGAAAGGAGATGAACTCTGGGATGGGACTATCAAGGTTTAGGGTGAAATGGGTTATCATTGTTTGTTGAGAATGTCTTTGGTTTCCCTGGAAATGAGAATAATTTTTCCTGAGCTCTCACAGAATATACTGTGCATAAAGTAAACACTGTGTTTTTATGCTCCCAAACTAAGAAAGTGCCATTAGAGAAAGAATACTTACTTTTCATTCACATAGATGCTTTTCCTCTAAACTTGTTACCTCCCACCCCCCCTTCCCAATATTCAAACAAAAGACCTAGGCCGTTTTTCATTTTTCTCCAATAATATTACCTTTTCTGGAAATTCTGCACTCAAGTATGGAGCCTTTAAACATAATTAAAAAAAAATCATAGTGAAAATCTGCATGGCTTTGTCTATCCTGCTGCTTTAAAGTTACAATACAGGGCCCTCTTGTCCTCTTCCAGCTCAGGAATTCTGTGGTTCAGCTGGAGGAGAATGAGCCTTAGGTGGAGGCTGGCTGAGCTGGAGGGGCCCCCAGTTAGCACAGTCCCGCCCCAGGAACAGGAGCGATCCTGTTGTCTCCTTCAAGCCACAGGTCAGTTTAGGAGACAGAGATGTGTGACCACAGTGGCGTGGGGCCAATGGATGGTGAGGGCATGCAGCCTAGTACAGGAGTCTGGGCTTCAGATGTGGGCTCCCTGCCCTCTGTCCACTCACAGGCACTTGTCCTCATGCATTTGAGTTCTTGGTGTTCACATCCTGTTTTCCTTCCTGGGTGTAAAGCTCCTTGTAGGAGCAGACCCTGTGTGTCCCATCACCCCCAAGACCATGTGCCTCTGGGTTAGTATGGCGCCTTGCCCATGAGACCTGCAGTGGCTGCGTAAAGGGCTAGAATGTGGACAGAGACAGAGGAGCTGGGAATGAGGAAGAGCTGGGAGCCGTGGGAGACAGAAGGCTGGACTTGGAAGGGAAGTAAGTGGGGAGGGAGGTACATGGTTGAATTTTGATTGCTCCTCTCTTCTGCCAAACACAAACCCTCCTGGCCCCATCCCATGATCCAGCCTGCACCCTGCCTCTGAATGACAGGTCTGAGCCTGTGGTTTGCAGTGTCCTGGTCGGGGTGGGGGGGTGGGCGGGAGACTGTGCATACGACAGGGGTTAGGAGGTGGAGGAGACCTTGGCGGGCTCATATGTCTGTGGCTCTCAGCTCTGTATGCCTTCTCCTTGGATCTTTAGAAGTGATGGCCCTGGAAATGTTGGCAAAGGCTCGGATATGGACTGTGCAACTGCAGCTGGGCTCACCCAGGCCCTCTCTGTCCAGCGGGCTCTCGGGCTTCCCCCAAGGCAGCTTCCTCCTCCCTCAGACCACTGCGTGGGCCACCGGAAACCCCCACCCAGGGGTCAGAAGGCTGAAATCAGGGCCACCCCCTTGGCTCATCCAGGCCCGTCTCCTCTCTCAGGGACCATCCGTGTTCTCGAGAGCCTGACCCACCTCCCAGGGCAGTGAGGGGCTTAAGAACCCTGGAGCGCCACTAAGGCTGGGATCCCTCTTCTTTTCTGTTCCAGCTGCTGGAAACGCTTTCTGCCAGGCAGCCCAGTTGCACCTGCAGCTCCAGAGCAAGCATGATGCAGCCACCTGCTTTGTGGATGCTGGTAACGCGTTCAAGAAAGCCGACCCCCAAGGTGAGGGCCTGTGTGGGACCCTGAGGCCGGCTACCCAGAGCGCCAGCCTAGCACTCTACAGAGAAGTCTGCAAGTTTTCATGTGACTGGTTTTCTCCAGGGGCTGACATGCACTAGGCTGGCAGGGAGGTACTGGCACTTGAACTTCAGAATTGGCTCCTTTCCTGTTGGCATTTGCATCCCTCTCCAGGCCTCCGCCTCCCCCTGCTACTTTGTGTGTGCGGCTGCCCCACTCTCGAAGCCTGGAGCATTTGGGAGTGGGAGTTACACTGCAGACCCACCGCGTGCCAGGGAGAGAGGAAAATCTGTTCTGTTGTCAGAATTAACATGCAGAACAGGGTGGGAAGGGGTTGTGAGACCAGCCAGGTAGGAGTCACTGCTGAAAAAGGAGCGGAAATTTTCCTGACCTGGCTTCCATATACCCTGACGGGGGTCAGAGAGAACAGAGCCTGAGGTGCAGTTGCCAGAGAGCAAGTTACTTAAGATGAGAGCACTCGGGACAGAAGCCCAGTTTGGGACTGACTCACCGTGAGAAAACCGTGCCCCCTGGGCTCATCCTCAGTGGAAGCAGAGCCCCATAGATACCGGACTTTGGGGTCTCACAGAGCTGCAATTTTAATTAATTTTTTTTTAATGTTGGTGTCAGACATAGGTTGCTGACCTTTAATTTTAGCAGGCAAAGGTACTTTTTTAGTGACCATCTATTGCCACTCTCCTCTTATAAGAGAATAAGAAATATATGAAGAATCAAAAAAAAGATTGGTGCTCCAAGGATTGGCGAGCGTCAGGTCACACACAGTCAAGGATTTGATCTCTCTATAGACCAAGTGGCTTTTCTCTGTCCCCCAGACTTGCCTGGTGGCTCCTCTGTAGCTGGGTGTCTCACAGATGTTGGCCTAAGTGGTCAGGTGGTGGGCTTGTGCTTGGCTAGAACCAGAGGGGAGGCCTTGTGACAAGGTGGGCCACAGCAGGCCATGGGGGCGATGTGATGACGACCAGGGGCAACCCTGGGCCTCTTTTCACCTCGATTCACCCAGGAAAGTCTGCGCGTCTCCTATAGAGACCCCTCCGCGCCCAGCCTTCCCTCTGCTCCCTGGGGCCTGGTCCACCTGGAAATGCTGCTGTAGCGTCTGCAACATCTAGCTGCCGCTCTGGAGTGACTGGAAGGACTTGTTTCTGGGTGGGAGCGGAGCGCCAGGCTGCATGACATGTGCACAGCGCCATTGGCTCTTTAAACAAATTGCAGTGCTTCCTGTGGGCAGGTCCCACCTGGCACCGTGATTTCGTGTACTTCCTGGTCTTTGAGCTGAGCTTTTGCATCTCCCATGAGGCCCTGCCTTGTGTATGTTGATTCTGGAGCCTGGGTTTGGGGGTGTGGCCCCGTGCCTAGCCCTGGGAAGTGTGAGGTTGGCGGAGGCATCCTGGGCCGCTGGGAAAGCATCAGCAGGTGATGCTGGTGACATGCCCATTGTGAGGCCCAGAGACCAACTTATTTCTCCAGAGATCAGTGAGCATAGTTTTCTGCCCTGGGAGCTGAGGCACGGAGGGAGTGGATTTGGGGTGAAGGGTACCTGGCAGGGAAATAAAAGGGGCAGTGGTATGGAGGAGGGCCTAATTTGGGCAGAGCTGGGAGCAGGTGCCTTGGCTGGAACCTCAGGAGTTTGGTGCTGAGCAGGGAGGGGTATTGGGGGGCATCCCAGCATCATGGCCTGCGCTGCCCACCCCAGTCAGGGTTGGGGGAGTGTGTGGCTCGGTGTGGTCTCCAGGGTCTGGGCAGAGCAGTCCCTTAATCTTTTTTGAGCCTCCATTTCCTGGTCTGGTAAATGTGAGGCACACGTAAGGGAAAGCGTAGAGATGCCCAGAGTGGTACCTAGCTTGTGATTAACATCTGGAAAGAGGCAGCCCTTAGCTCCTATCTGATGGGGCCTGGCCTGGGCTCCCCCAGCCTCTGCCCCTGGGCCGTGTGCCTTGTGAAACAGGGCTGGGGGGCCCATTTGGACCCCTGCCCAGTTTCCCCAAGCAGGTGACTAGCTCCTGGGCCTTACTGGTTGCCTTACCTGCTTCGAAGGCCTCCGCCTGTGTCAGCACTTCCTGAGGGAGTCCTGGAGAGCCCTCCCCTCGAGGCAGCTGGTGCAGAGCCTGCGCCAAAGGCCTTCCAGGGTGGAAGGAAGGATTTGGCTCCTGTTACCGTCCTCCCCCTCTGCCAGTCTGCCTGAGTGGGCCGGGGAGGGCCTGCTGCCCCCGTGGTGGCTGAGGGTGGGGAGGTGACGGACCCAGCTGTCAGAGGTTCCCCCTTCGCCAGCCACTGCTGACCACTCTGGGTGGACCTGGGCGGGAAGGCCTCTTACCCGCTCCCGCTCCCACTCCCGACAGCTGGGTGCACCAGGGCCCGGGAAGCGGCCTGGCCCCACCCGTCTCCTGCTGCCATTTGCTGGGTGCCTGCTGCATACCAGACCCCTGGTGAGGCAGCCTTCCTTTGATCCATTCCACTTCTCTGTGAGGTCCTGCGGTTCGCCCTCATTTTACCGAAGAGGAGACTGGGGCTGAGTCCAGGCAGTGATGAGGAAGCCACTAAAGCACAGAGGGTGGGCGGAGGGCCCCGGGTTGCCCTGCTCCGCTCTGCCTAAGCCAGCACCTTCTGCTTCTTGCACGTCAGCCCTCCCTGCCTCCCCAGTTCTGGGCTGGATCATTCCGGAGCCCTGTCCAGCTCCCTGGCTGTGTGGGTGGGGATGGCGTCAGGTGTGCTGGGCTTTGCCGTGTTTGTCCGGGGGGTCCTGGGGGTCTCCATGACCAGAGACAAGCTGTTTGAGCCAGTGTGTCAGCGGCTTGTCTGTGAACACTCACTAGGGTGTCAGCTGGCAGTCAGCCACTTTGAGGGACAGTCCCAGAGCGAGGAGCCAGGCGTGAGGGGAACTTAAGCCCAGGAATCCATGTCCATGCCTGGGACTAAGTTCCTCCCCACTGCCGCTGCCAGGGGGGCCTGTTCACAGGGGGGAGCTTCCAGCCTCTCTCCGTCCCAGGCTGTGGTCTCGCCAGGAGCAGCCCTTGCCTGCAGGCGCCAGGTTGGGCCTCCTGGCATTCCAGGGAGTTACCTGGGGGTCTGCCAGCTACATCTGCCTTCTGGGGTAGAGGACAGAGCAGGTGGGGTTTGCTGCCGCCCAGCTACCTTCTTCCTTATCACCTTTATCATGGTGTTGCAACCCGTTGCTAGCTCACCACTTCCAGAAATGTTCTGTTAGAAAATATGTGCATGTGTTAAAATAACTATAATAGCTGTAATTTTTTGTGTTCTTCCGCTTTTGTCCTCTGCCCCCTTTCACCTTCTTTTCCTTCTCCTTATTGGCTGGGCCCCCCAGCTGGCAGCCTCAGAACCTTGACTAAACGGTGTACAGAATCTTTCTGAGGTCCCCACAGACCTTTTAGAACTGGACCAGACCAGCAGACCCTCCCCCAGCACGGTGCTCACAGACACCCACTTTTTGCAGGCACATTTAGGGGGCTTGTGGACTCCCTGTTGGCCCAGTCACAAGTCTGAGGCTCAGCGCCTCTGTTCACATGTCTCCCTGGGTAGTGAGACCATTAGCCCTGAGAGCAGGCACCAGGCCTTGTGCCTCTGTGTAGTGTCTCAGCCTGGTGGGCCCGGCTGACCATGGAGACCCTGTCAGATGCCCAGGATCCTTGTGAGTGCCCTGGACCGTGGGGTGAACTTTCAGCCTCACCCCAGCTCGGAGTCCATATGCTGTGGTCTGTCCAGGCTCTTTGTCTCCCCCATCTCCCTTTCCTCCTGAGATTTATTAAAATGGTATTAAAAAATCCATCCTGAGAGCTCATCTCTGTCTGCTAGAAAATGCCTCCCACTCATGTTTCTCTCTCTACTTCAAATAACTTGTCACAAAAAAAAGCCATTCCCAAATTCAAAATCTTGCAAGAGATAGTACCACAAAGGTAGCCCAGTTCCTCCTGTCAAGTGCCATCCTGGTGTGTGTGCTTTCCTGATGGAACCTGAGGAGCTGGCAGGTAGCAGCGCCAGGGTCAGAGGGCCAAGGGCAGAATGTGGGCATATGGACAAGAGAAAGCATGAGAGTCTAGCTGGAGGGGCCTCAGTGTCACGGCATCCAGCCTTCTCCAGCCGTACACGGAGGCCTGGTGCAGGGAACATGGCTGATGGAGCGGCCCGCACTGAAAGGGCGGCAGAGCCCACGTGGAACCTGGGTGTCCCTCTGGTGTCAGGTTTGGTGGCCTCTGGCCCCATCTTGCTGCTTGCCAGCAGCTCTGTCCTTGGGTGTAGGGTCTTGGCAGGTCTGGTTCAACAGCCATGGGAGTCTGGCTGTCAGCCTGACCAGGCGCCAGCGTGTCCTGTCCCAGGGTTTCTGGGAAGGTGGTGGCCGCCGTGGCAATGAGGCTCCCCCTGAAGCATGTGCCCCACAAGTTAGTCTGCAGAATACATTCATCTGATCAAGTTTTCTGGGGCTCAGGGATTCCTCCACCCTCCCTCCCGGCACCTGGAGAACGTGGCCCTGGAAACCCCAAGCACCTGTTGGTCTCTGCAGGCACAGGAGCACCTGCATCATACCTCCTGCCTCTCCTCGGCTTCTGCTGAAATGGCCTCACTTCCTCATTTCTCCTCCCCATCTCCCCATTTTCTCTCCCCAGAGGCCATTAACTGTTTGATGAGAGCAATTGAGATCTACACTGACATGGTAAGGGTCCCTGGGTGTCCTGTCCCCACTCCTGGTCTCCCGGCTGCCCCAGCCTTACCTCCCTCCACCAGCGCAAGAGCAGGCAGGCAGGGGTGGTGGGAGCCATGCAGGTTTTGGTCACCTGGGCTGGCCTGGCAAGGTCCAGGCTGGCTCCTGGCAGCTGACGGCCCCACCCCAGTTCCTGCCCTCCACCTCCGCAGAGGCCACAGAGGTCTTCATTTGTAGAAGTTCTGTGTATGGGGGCCTGTGTGTGTCCGGTACTTTCCTCCTCGCCCAGCCTCCCCCCAGAGTCCCATTGGGCTGGCAGCTCACGGAGGCCAGAGGCGAGGGAGGCGAGGCCCAGAGTCAGCCTAGCCCCTGCCCTGCCCCAGGGAGCCGGGATGGTGTTCTGCCTCATCACACACCTTCTCTGTCCCGTCAGGCCCCTCCCCAGGCAGGAGTGCAGGGTCGGGGCCCCTGCCCAACCCGGGGCGACGCTGCAGTGCCCTCCTTACAGCAGTGAGCTACAGCTGGTTTTCCAACAAGACACTCTGAACCAGCTGGTTTAAACTACTTCTCCAGCAGCCAGTTGTTATCCTGTTTTATGAAAGGGGGGCCCGGGCAAGTGACATGACTTGCTTAGGGACATATGCCTACAAATGGGACTTGTGGGACCCAAAACTAGGCGTGACTGAGCCCAGGGCCTTGCTCTTTCTTGCTGCCTCCAGCCAGGGGGTGGCCACAGACCAGCCCCTGTGTGCAGACCAGCAGGCCAGGCACCTAGGCCCCCCCTGAGTGGAGGCGCAGAGCGGTTGCTCAGCCGTCTAGTAGCCAGAGGCCTCCCTAGGGAAGGCTCTGGATGTCCGCAGGGGAAGCTCCGGCACAGGGAGGCATGGCCTGTGGGAAGAGCCACCTCTGAGGCCATACTGGGAGAGGCGGCCGAGGGGGAGCTTGTCCCTTTGGCAGTGGGATGGTGGGTCCTCAGCCCTGGTTTCTGCCAGGTGACTCTGGCTGGTCCTCCTGCCTCTCTGGACCATCTGTCAAATGCTTCCTCAGGCCAGGGCCTTTGCCAGCTGCCTCTGCACATGTTATCTGTGGTGTTGCCCCATCTGCCTGTGCCCCCCGGGCAGGATGGAAGCTGAGGTTGGATGTGGAGTCACTGCACAGGGACACCCAGTCAGACCAGGCCTCATCCCAGAGCCTCCCTTCTAAGTCCCGTGTCTCTCCGCCTCTCCGTATCTTCTGCACACCTCACCACATGGTGTGGCTGAGGGGCAGGAGCCCACCAGCTTTGGGGACCCGGAGGGGCATGGTTGAGCTGGGCTGGGCACTCTGGGTATCACTGGTCACAGATGGCCCCTTCCCATCCTGCCAGGGCCGATTCACTATCGCCGCCAAGCACCACATCTCCATCGCTGAGATCTATGAGACGGAGCTGGTGGACATCGAGAAGGTAAGTGGTAGTCGGGGGCCCTCCCTGGCTCACAGGTGGGGGTGGCTGCAGCAGCAGGTCTTTGGGCCTAGGGCTCCCCTGTCTGTCCTGTCCACTTGGGGGGTCCTCTGGTGTCTGAATCTCACAAGAAGGACCTTGGCAGAACTTAAAGGGCCTGCGGATGACAAAGGCTGCCCCGGTGCCCACCCCACCTGCCCGTGTCTCCCCAGGCCATTGCCCACTATGAGCAGTCAGCGGATTACTACAAAGGAGAGGAGTCCAACAGGTACCTGGGTGCCAGGCTCCCCTCCCCCTGCCCACTCCAGACCCCTGAGTCTCCCAGACTGGCCACCACCCACCTTTCTCCTCTCTCCCTGCCTCCCAGCTCAGCCAACAAGTGTCTGCTGAAGGTGGCTGGTTATGCTGCACAGCTGGAGCAGTATCAGAAGGCCATTGACATCTATGAACAGGTTGGGGTGTGGGGGCGGGGGGGTGGGGCTCCAAGCCCTGTTCTCAGAGGTTCTCCACGTCCCTCCTCGTCCCCTTCTCCTGCACCCTGTACTCAGCCTGGCTAAACGCTTCTCTCCACCCACAACCCCAGGAGGTGTCACCAGTCTTTCCCTAGATATGCCCTTCCCGCACCGTTCACAGAGCTGTTTGGGAGTCAGAGGGGCAGTGGGAAGAATTGCCCAGGTCTGGGTGGCCAGGAAGCAGGGTGCCCTCTGCTGTGATGGGGGCGCTGCGCAGGGTCCAGGCTGTCCTGGTGTGTTCAGCCTGGCCCGGAGAAAGGCAGGCAGCTGGCTTTGGGGAATGGAGCAGGCACCGCCTCATGTTTCCGCAGCCTGCCATCCCTCTACCTCTGCCCTCCAATGTGCCAGCCTCCCATTGGGCCTATCAGTGGGGCCGCCACCCCCAACTCTCTTGGGCGCCTCAGGAGGCCTGCAGACACCTGGCTTCAGCCCTGTGGCAGCCCTCCCCCACACCCATAATGCTCTGGTCCTTGCTCAGTCACACACTGCTTCCCAACTGCCCAGTCCCTGGGGCTAGTCCCTGGTCTCCTTGCCCTTGGGGCCCCACTCAGGGTATGGACCCGGCTCCCAGCTGGACCCCAGGTGCCTGGCAGCAACCCTGGCCCTCTGGCTCCCCACCCTGAGTTCTCAGTGCCACGTCCATGTGCTCACAGGTGGGGACCAATGCCATGGACAGCCCCCTCCTCAAGTACAGCGCCAAAGACCACTTCTTCAAGGCGGCCCTCTGCCACTTTTGCATCGACATGCTCAATGCCAAGGTGAGCCCAGGCTCCCTGAGCCCACCTGCTTGGTGACCACCCGCAGGGCAGCACGTCTGTTACCAGGCCAGGTCACCTCTCAGCCCCTTGCAGGGGTGAGCTCCTCACTCATGTCTGGCCTCTTGACAGTGGGCCTTGGGCAGGAAATGCTTGTCTTCACTGGGACATTTCTGTCCCTGATGTCACCTGCCAGGTCCCTGTAGGGTTTGAGTCTCCGGCTCCTGGCTCAGCGCCAGGCTCACTCTTTCAGCACATTTCAAATCCTTACTGCACCCCATGAGGTGCGTGTCATTGTCACCCTTTTTACAGATGAAGACACTGAGGCTGAGGCCAGAATCCCTTGTTCAAGGCCTCATGACTAGTAAACTCCAGTCCTAGGATTCCAGGTCTTTCTGTCTCCCAGTGTCATGATTTGAACCACAGTATGCATGCCCACCCCATCCACTTTCAGGGCTTTTTCAGCAAGAGAGGGGTCAGTGCTGGGCCAGGGGGCAGGGAATGGCCAGGGGAAGAGCTGGACTCGGCCAGAATCTAAGCTGCCCTGGGGTCTCCAGCCCCACCACCCTCAGCTACAGGCCTGTCTGAGCCCCCCACCCCCACACATGCCCCCTCCAGGAGCACCTGGCAGGGAGCTGAGAGCTCAGGCTTCGGTGTAGGGCTGGTTAGTCCCTCTCCCCAAGCAGTTACTCTGTGCCCTGAGCAAGTCACTGCCCTCTCTGGTGTTTCCCTACTTTTGAAATGGGGACCACCACCGTGGGCCCTCATGATGGTTGAGTGTGAGAAGTGGCCAGCTCTGGGCCTGGCATGTAGGATATATTCAGTCATTGTCCTTTGCCCCCTATCCTGGGTGGGCCCAGCTGCAGAAAGCAACAGGGGGCACTGGCCTGGGAAGCCCTCCTCTCCATGCTACCCCCTCCCCAAGCTGTCTCTGCAGCCACGCTTGCTCTGAGATCAGCCCCAAGCCCTCTGGAGGTGCCATGAGGTACAGAGCCTCGGCGGGGAGGAGGTGGGAGGAGACCCAGAGCTGACTCGGCCCGAGTGTCCCCAGATTCCCTCGGCGTCCAGGCCTGTGGCTCCAGTGGTCCCTCTTCACTACCTTGTCCCCTTCCTTCCTCCTGCCCTTGCTGGTGCTCAGCTCGCTGTCCAGAAATACGAGGAGCTGTTCCCTGCATTCTCCGATTCCCGGGAGTGTGCGCTGATGAAAGTGAGTCCTGGCTGCTCGGCCGCGCCTTTCCCTGCCGCTCTTTGTTTCTGGGCCCGGAGAGGGTGCTGGGAGACGGAGAAATCTGGAGGCTTGGGCTACGGTTACCATAGTCATTGAGATTTGTGATTCTTAAGGGTCTCTTGTTTCTATTCTGTTTGTCCTTTTCTGCCATTTGGGTCTCTCTTTTCTAGATGAGAAAAGGCACAGGCAGTAGTGGAGCTAGGGGCCGAGGTGGGAGGCTGCGTGATCACGTGCGCGAGCACACACACACACACACACACACACACACAC